GGCCGAGCGTTTCAGTTTACGGCCGCATGTACAAAGTCAATAGGAAGCGCTCGCGCGCGCCGTGCGTTTCTGCGCTGATGTACAGCACAAGCGGGCGGAGCAGGTATCCCACGCCGGAGCTCCCTGGTGCTCGCCTGGCCGAAGACGGGCACAGCGGTGATCGGAAGTTGGAATCTGAATTAGATAGAGATATCGTGTGTGCGTCGCGGTGTGCGGCTGCATTGATTTAATACATGCGATGACATACTTTTGAGCTTGCGACTAGCACAAAATCGGGCTTTAAATCTGAAAAATACTTGAAATAAAGCTCATTTTATGGTACCCATATTTCTTACAGACACGCGTAAGATACTCGATTTTTCAGATTTGGGTAGCGGGACCGGCGATTACATCGCTAAAATGTGATATTTTAGGATATATTTTCCATTGCAAATGTGGTTCTTCAGTGACACTGGCATGGTATGGTATGTGTGGGATATGTGTTATGCTATTATGCGATGTATTTTAGAGTGATTTTACCTTGTATCCAACCAATCGGCCGAAAACGGGAGCTGGCCGATTACGGGCTCCTTTACTCTACTAGGTCTAGAGTCTAGGCAAATTCATGCAAAAAAATATATTCAAGAAATTGACTTGAAAACACATCAGACAATTAGTCTGAACCGAGTCAGGAGCAAATTTGAAGAAATTATATTTTATATTATGACGCGCACGGTTGTGGTACGTGCGTTCTCGAATCCAAAATCGTATCTCACACACACACTCTCGCCATACCGTGAATGGTCCGTCGTGGGGAGCTAGGCGCCCGAGAGTTTGCCAGCGATACCAACGCACCCTCGGAGCTCCGCAGCGCACAATTTTAGCGGAACTCGAAAGGTTCGAGGTGGGAAGGTGGCGGGCTAGCTTTTTGCCATCGTTCCTTGTATTCCTGTTTGTACTTCTGAATTCGTCTTGCTGCTGTTCCGCTCATTTTGACAGATTTTCTTCCGAGACAAATCACAAATCACAACGTATACGGTACCTCGAAACACGTACTTTGCATGGGGACCCTATGCATACATATATACGGTGCGCTAGCCGCGATAGCCAATGCATGCATGCTGCGCTGATGATATGCGTGCAAACGTATAGAAATTATACTTACGAGATTTGCCAGCGCAGGTATTTACGTACGGAAATGTTACGTACGGAAACACATATCAGAGTGCACGTGGCGCGCAGCAACACGCTGCCACACTGTACGTACATAATTATCAGTGCACGCTGCACGCACCTTGCGCAATGCAATCCGTTCAGCACTCGATCGGATCAATGCTACAGTGTATGGAAAGCCAAATTCCCCAAAATCGGAACGTTCCGTTTTTTAGGGCTATAAAAACTTGAAAAACGGAACAGTTCCGTTAAAATCGGAACGGTTGGCATGTCTGGACTGTAGTGTTATGAAAACCGTCGGGAAAACGCAAAATTTGATTTCGATTTCCAATCAAAAATATCTTGATAATCAGACAGGCGATCGGCTTGTAAATGTCATGGGATTCATGTATGCCCTAAAGGTTTATAATTATGATTGCAGCATGAGCGAAATCAAGGATTTTTTTAAAGGGTCTGAGACAAAGTTATCCAATCCCTTTCATACTGATGAGGTCACCCTGGGTAAACAAGACATGTTATTAATATTATTATTTGGTATTTAAAACAAAAACTTGCCAATTTCCCTTGTCAAAACATTTCACAGAAACACATAATAATATAAATTCCATGTTTAACCCAATGAATCCCATTGTTTTCTAGGCCTGTCCATACATGAGAGATATGCTGGATAAGGGAATTTGACACTTGCTGACATGAGATTCTGTTTGCCAAGAGCCAGAAAGGTGTTATCTCTCTGTTAAAGGTATAGACCAGTTTTGGAAACACCCCCCTTTCAAAAAATTGGAAGCTCTTATTACCAATCATGTAAAAGAATATGTTTTGACTAATACGTGATGATACAAATTTTGCCGGGAAACCGCCTACTAATTGATATATTTGGTAAATTGATATATCTATCTGGACCGGATAGATATAGCGCACGTGTCGCGTAGTCCCATATACATCTTACGGTGTACAGTGCTTGTAACTTTACCAAGACTGGGCCAAATTTCTTATCACTTTGATGATTCCAGAACCTTGCAGTACACACCAATACTTATATATGCTAGATGATCAACCTTCTCTGATCCATTCCACATTTCTTCCACAACGCAATTGCATGACCAGAACTGGTCTTTACCTTTAAGTGCTACTTTATATCATTGAAAAAGTAGATGATGTCTGTCATGAAAGTGAAGCATGTGCTGTAATGAATTAAATGAAAGTTTGGCATGCTCTCATGTACGAGGATGCAAACAGGATGTGGAATAATAGAAACTGATAATCGTTTTGAATTTTGAGACAGCTACAACAGATCATTCATTAAGTTAAAGTGTTAATCATTTACGGTACTCTTCATTTCAAAGAACAAACAGTGTGGGCTAGGTAGGGAAGGGATAGAATTGCTACCCTAAGCTCAACTTATAGCTCCAAAAGAAACTTACCACATTGATAAAATAAAGATGCATGACTAAATCTGATGAATGTTTATGAATCTATGATCATGAGACATACTACATGTTTCTTGTTTACAACAGCCTCCTTCAATTGTCATTCATGAGACAAAAATAATGACAATTAATGAAGGTTAAAAAAGGATTTTACTGAACATGAGCGTTCTATCACCGAGCTAACAAACTGAGCGACACCTTCAGTAACGTACAAGGTTTGTTGTATCTTTAATTATACCACATCCATAACTTTTAAGACAGTCTAAACATGTACTGATGAAGGACACATTGAAACGTTATATTTTCAAATGCAGTATAAATCTCTAAATCAATAATTTGGAAGCAGGTGCGAATGATCACAATAGTTATTCTTGGCCAGGACTCAATAAATCTGGCTGGCATCAAGCCTACACTGAGCACCAACTACCATGCTTTACTTTTGTTGATGTTGTTTATTTGATCTTGCCACGTTTGAGCAATAATATGATTATATTTTTAATACTTGGAAATGTAACAGATTTTCTTTCCATAAGATGGTTTCATCCTCAATTACAGGTTCAATTATTCCTTTTTTTTTCAAGTTGAATTATACTTGAATTATCTTCTCACTCAAACAAGGTACACTAGAAGCTAGATAATGTAGACCACACATACCCCCTCTCCCTAAAACAAGCCATCTTCTCACAGAAAAATGAAGGCGCGATAGCTCAGTCGGAAGAGCAGTGGTCTCGTAATCCGGTGACCCGGGTTCGAAACCAAGGTGATGCGCTAGTGCTCTTTGGTAAGGTATTAATCCTCATTACCAGGTCCCTCGGAGAGGACCTAAAGCCGTCGGCCGTCTGGTTGCTTACTTACAAGCATTTATGCTTTCTTAGCAGTTAGGTAAAATAACAACCACCACCAAAAGATCTAGTCTTCATACTCCAGACTTGGTTCATATATTTTCATTAAAACAAAATTGGGGATTGAGGTCAAATCATAACAGCTTGAAAAAATAAGTGTCTCAAGTGACTTAATCCAATCATAATAAACATTATCTTTAAAGTTAAAGACCAGTTTTGGAAATGCCCCCCTCTCAAAAAGTGAAATGGAAGCTCTTATTACCAATCATGTGAAAAAATATGTTTTGACTAATTCGGGATGATACAAATTTTGCCCGGAAACCGCCTACTCATTGATATATTTGGTAAATTATTATATCTATTTGGACCTGATAGATATCGTGCACGTGTCGCATACTCCCACATACATCTTTCTGTGTACAGTGCTTGTAACTTTACCAAGACTGGGCCAAATTTCTTATCTTTTTGATGATTCCAGAACCTTGCAGTACACACCGATACTTATATGCTAGATGATCAACCTTTTCTGATCGATTCCACAACGTTTCTTTGACAATACAATCGCATGACCAGAACTCAACTTTATCTTTAAACCAATGTTTACATGCGCTTCCAAAATCCACTGTAAAGGTTTTCACACCACATACCTCATTTTGAAAGGACAATGTTTACATGAATGAAGATCAAATCGTTCTCGCATCATAAAACCAGCCCAAATGATGTTTGGATATCTGAAATTTATTATTCCACCAAAATGTCTCCTTCCTCTCGCTTCAGCAAGGCTTGTTATGTAAACACACATTGAATCACGATTCATGGTAAAAGGGAGTATGTAACAAAACTTGCTTGTCGTCTTCTGACAGCTAAAAGGGTTTTAATTTGGGCTCTAAACAGACGCTATTCTCATTTATTCTATTCAGAGTTTGTCAAACATATGTTGTAATCATTTAGATAGCTTTTAAGGTAGCACTTTAAGTTTTTGGTATAATCTCACAACGGCTTAACATAGCATGCAACGTACTTGGGACACGAGCTTCTAAATAAAGACAATTTTCTTGAGATATGAAAAGTGAAAGTATACTGTATTTCGATTGTCATGTGTGTCTTAGTTTCAGAATGTGATTATTTATAAATATAGTGTCTGTTTGGAGCTGGAAGGACACTAACTTGGATGAACTTAGCGATCTTTTGGCTCCAAGCAGAAGATACAATCTTACAGCTGCTGTTTAACCCATTAAAGATAAACTTGAGTCCTGGTAAAAAAAAGAAAATGAATTCTCACAGAATCAACCGAAACTTACACTGTATGTTCAAGATTATAAATAAATGTCATTTGCCAAACAATTTTGGTAGAAAGTGAATACTGGCTGAGTAATGAGCATAGAAAGATAAGGAAATCAAAGTTAGTAGCCCCGACACTGTTTGTGTAGTCCCATATACATCTTTCTGTGTACAGTGCTTGTCACTTTACCAAGACTGGGCAAAATTTATGATGATTTTGATGACTCCAGAACTTTGAAGTACACACCAATACTTACATGCCACATGATCAACTTTTTCTGATCCACTGCACACCTTTTCTTTCACATCGTAATCGCATGACCAGAACTCAACTTTGTCTTTAACAATAAAATTAATTATACAAAGTGAAATGCAGATCAACAGATATTATAGAAGTGGATGATCATATACATGTACATGTAGTATGAATGATCAGAAGACCAGGTCATTTCTAGTCTGATGTACTTCCTGTAACATGAGCGCTTCACGATTCAATTCACGATATCCACTGGAACCACACTTTACAAAGCACACAGCTGGTGAGTTGAGTCCTTTCAATGGTGTAGCAGGTCATATATACAAACACATTGCTGGTGAAGTGAAGATCTGTTTTGGGTGGGATATAATCATTTCCTGTAGGATCTCCTATGCCTGGAAAAGAAAACAAAATGAGAAAGAAAGGAGGTAATAAATCATCTGAGAAGCAGGACAAAGTATAAACCACAAATTATCAGGGAGGGGGGGGGGGGGGGTGGGGAGAAGACACCATACAGACCACATGAACAATACCTTACAGATATAGAGAGGAGATTGTAAGGAAAAAATGATTGTTTCTTCTGCCACCTTTCTCAATTTGATACAAATTATTCACAGTGACCAACAATTTGGCAAACAGAAAAAAAAAAAAAAAAAAACCTGCATAAAAATATCATCAATGAATAGTGTACTGATCTCGAGATTGGGAAAGGTACGGAAAACGGAAAAAATGGGTGAAATCAAAAAAAGAATTTGAATGAAACCTGAAAAAGAAAAAAAAATAAGACCAGGGCCCTGTCCTATTATAAGCAGTTGCGATTGCTATCAATCTATGTACATGACAGATAGGGCATTGCTTACTTTATAAGACTTGGCCCAAAAGTAACAAATTATGAAGCAAGACATAAACACCAGGCATACATACCTGCCAATATTTGAAAATTAGAAATTAGGAATATTTATCACGGTATGCCTTCGTAAATAAGAAATCGCGCTTGCAGCGACAGTGTAACTGGCAATACGCGATAAATCTGTACTATAAAGCAAGTACAAATTCGCTGCTCGATCATGAAGCCATTCACAACGCAAACAGTATGTGAACTCTCAAATCGCGCCATATGATAAAACCAGCTTAATTTGGCTTAAGCATAAAATTTTTTTAAAAAAATGCAATTTTGAAAAATCTGAATATTCCGGATTTTCAGGTCCTAGAAATTCAGATCTGAATATTCCAGATCATTCGTAAGGGTTGGCAGGTGTGGGCATAACATGTCAATTAACAAGGAAGACATGACAACAGAAATAACATCTGGGCCTAAAGGGGAAACATGAGCAGATGCAACATGAAGAACTAAAGGAAGTATGACATTAGCCTTGCCGTTATCATACACAGAAGACAGGACAACAGGTTTCACATTGGGTCAGAAGTAAAAAATATAACACCAGATTTAATGCTATTCTGACTGGGGTATGACACCCCCCCCCCCCCCCCCCCCCCCCATACAAAATGCACGACTGCTGCGCATCCACTGCAGATCACGCATTGCCTTAGTGACTTTGTCTATTCCAGTTCCCACAATTCTTTAGACTAAGTTTGCAGAAATGAGATAATCCTCTGCGCGACATTTAGTAGTCACATGTCAGGCCAAAATTTGTGTAAAAAATACCGCTTTTCCTAAATATAAAAGCGATTTTTCTTGAAAAAACACATCCACAGGGGTACTATCCATATGTGTGTCAATATAAGTGCAAAATTTTGCATCAATTGTGCATTCCATGGCTGAGTAATATCACTCAAATTTACCCCCCCCCCCTCCCCAGTCAAGACTTGCTCTCAGAAAGCCCAGTCAGTATAGGTGAACACAGAAGATGTGACACCTGGGGGTGTTTCACAAAGATCCTCAGTCAAACTTAACTATTAGTTGGACTTGAACATTATGGACTGCCATTTGTAGCCTTAAAATAAAATATATTCAAAAAGCGAAAATTTAAGTATTTTAGACTTTTTATAAATTCCACATCAAGAACATGAAAGCTCCTTGATAATAGAAAATATGAACGATTTGAATCAACACTTTATGCCTTTTAAAAGAACTTTTACAAAATATTTTCATAGATGCTAACGGCTTTCCATAATTGTTGAATCCAACTTTAGAATAAGTTCAACTTATAATCTTTGTGAAACACCCCCCAGATGTAACAAGTTGGGCTACAGAAGGCCTGTCTTCACTAGCTCAAGATTGCCAAATATCCCGCTATTCAAACTATCCCGATCCCAAACTATCCAGCTAATATTCGTCTTCATTAGCCCAAAGTTGCAATTAGCGAGATATTTGTCCGGGATTGTCATCCATCTCGAGCTGATGAAGACGCGATTTGTAACCTCAGGATTATTTCCCAAATCAGAAATAGCGGGCTATTTGGCAATCTCGAGATGATGAATACGCGCCTAGAGAGAGAACAGCACACCAGCAGTGACCGGCCAGCATGTGGGTGAGTGGGTAGGAGACCTACCTATCATCCGGTGATGTTGACCGATGTCTATGATGGTACCTATCATCACTCCTCTCATCACGCCTATCGTCACGTCTCTCATCACGTCTCTCATCACGATGATAGTTACGAACTAACACAAAATGAGGAAATATAATAATAATATTAAATTATTAATCATACAATATTTATAAAGCGCATAATAAACATTAGTTTCTCTATGCCCTGTACAAGCATAATGATGAGAAATTTATTCACATGAAAGGAATCAACACAGAGAAATATACAAATCTTATAACTACTAAAATGACTAACTTAACATAGTAAATAACATAATAAAGAGATAGCTAACATGGTCAAAACAAGTAACGTAAGGATAGTTTAACAAATATACAAATGTTAGAAGATACCTATTGAAAGTTACATTACATCTTATGTACAGATAATAATAATTTATCTGACATTCTGTCTCACAGTGAAACATGTAAATAAGTTTTTAGGACCGCTCGACAGGATGTACACTAAATTAAACCAACATGAATCTATTTTATGATGCTGCTCTGGGGGGTGTTTCATAAAGCTGTTCGTAAAGTTACGGATGACTTTACGAATGACTTAAATATGAGAAGCCAAATGGGATGCTCAATCATTATTAACTGCATCAACTAAAGTTGAACTGTGCAGATTTAGATTAACATTCTCATCATAACAAACATTTTTTAATGCAAAGTATATTTTTTGCCATAATTTAATTGAGGTTATTGGAAATATAGTCACACTTTGTTAAAACATCAGGAAAAACTTTGGGCATCCTATCTGGCACTTCATATTCAAGTCGTTCGTAAAGTCATGCATTACTTTACAAACAGCTTTATGAAACACCCCCTGAAGGCCTCCAAGACCAAGAGGAAAACTATTTATTACATTCTAGAGAGAGCTCATTACCTGGTGATCTGTGTCTTCTTTCCCTTGATCTGCTCCTCCTCTCCCTCTCTCTCCTTGGGCTTCTGCTTCTCCTTCTCTCTCTGTCTCTCCTGGGGGATGGGCTTCTCCTCTTGGGAGAACGACTTCTCCTGAATGAAAATCAATGACATCATAATGAAAATCAATGACATCATGTTTGGTTTCTTTCAATTGTCAATTCAATTCAATTCAATTCAATTCATTTATTTTTCCTCTTTCAATTGTTCATATTTACAATGATGGTACATTTTAACATATTCACATATTCGTAAACATATACATCAATTTGCACAATACAATACATTAAAAAAAAACAACATGACATTGAAAGGGAAGTAGGGCCGACTAAAAAGCAGAGCTTGTAAGGTGTAGGCCCCCCTTTAAAAGTAATTATTATGAAGTATTATTTTATGAGAAAAAAAAACAACAATAATTGATTCAGTAATACAAAAATCATTTTTAAATGCAAAACATTGATAAATACATACATGTTTATAAAAAGAAACAATCAAAGTTACACAAACATCAAATTTGCATAAAGTCATACTACAAATTATATTTGATTGGGGAATGCAATAGCCAACCCTTTCCCATCAGAAGTATTTTAGTTCTGGTGATGACAAACAAAGAACCCAACAAAATCAACACTGAACATTGAAAAATGTACATCCATGCCTGTTGAAAGAATTTGATAATAATGCATTATACCCATATTATAAACAAAGAAATAAGAAGACATTGGGAAAGTCAGGAGTGCAGTGCGATACATTGTCCAAAATATCTGTGACGTTACTTCTTGAAGGATACGTAATTGTGGAAATTTGGCCTGTCCATAAAATGATAATATGGATGCATTTCCAAATCCCACAGCGTGCAAACCTCTATTTTGAGATTTTTAAGAAATGAGGTGTCAAAAAAGGTTGTTTGGTATCAACATGTTCAGGGCAACTCCCTGCATAATTTTCAAAATGGCCACCATTTATAACTATTGAACGATTTCAGACATTACTTTTTAACAGAACCTTATTTTACCATGTGTGTGTGAGGTGTCATACAAAAGGTAATTAAATTTCCTACAAGATGATATCACTAGACCTGACAACCTCTGGAGTTCAAAAACTGTATTCTTTAGTCCCAAAAGTTGTATTTTACTGACAAAAGTTGTATTTTTGTTTGTAAAACACGGATCAATGCCTCTTACAGTCCTTACAAACAAAAAGAATTTTTGTTATGGATCATCGATTGAAAATACATGATTTCGTCATGACTGGTGTGTTCGATGAACCTATGAACATCCCCAAATTGCCAATGTGAGATGCTCGTACGATACTTTACAGGACAGAATGGGCATTTTGTCATTGAAAATGGCACACACACACACACACAGTGGAAAAATCGTACTTTTGTATTTACTTCTAAATATTGTACGAAATACGATTACATCGTACTGGTTGGCAGGTCTGTACCACATTAAATAGTTTTGAGAATAATTTGCATAACAACTTTGAGTAAAAAACAAGATTTTTATTTTTTTTTAAAAAACATGAATATTGCTATGGAAAATGTGAAGGAGAATGGGGTCTATGTTCCATCAGGACTGGTGAAGGGACAGCTCTTGCATGAGCTTCTTTTGATTGCTAGATCAGGGAGAGAAGACATAGACCTTCAGGAAGTAGGGAGGTAACCTGGAATTTACAACCACAAGAAAGTGACTGATGTGACCTGATGGATCACTACATCCAACTAAAGTCAAGTAGTTCACATGTTATGTGATGAGTCTGGTATTGTTACAGACGGCAGCCCATCTCAGGACAAGAACCAACAAGCCAGACGGAGTTGTCTCCTCATTCATGGTATGGTCGTTGTCAAAGAAGCAATGCCTGTAGGAACTTTCCAAACTTCCAAGGACTTGGCTCTGATGTATGTGCGACATACCGATGCAAAGGCAAAGCAGTGTGATCTTTTCTTGAGTCGTGTTTCACATTCATGAATTTTGGGAATGTTTTATCTATATTTTTTCTTGCAATCTTCATTCTCACCCATTCCTTGTCATATTTCATTTAATTGAATTAAACAACCACACACAAACCGAAAGCTTACAAAAGCAAGCTTTAAAGCTTATCTTTACTAGTTTATAGGAGGGATTAGACCACACTGCAAGGTCACTGGACGGGTGGTTATCTCATCAACTCAGCTCTCAATTAACATAAGAAAAAGAGGATCATGGGGGACCAATGGTCACCGATTAAGCATTGTTTTCCATATAGAGGGAGCAAGTAGCTTCAAGTAGGACAGTGTGGCCTTAAAACAAAGAATATTATATCTTACCTTTTAGGTGATCGACTACGACTTCGACGATGCCTTGGTGAAGGACTTCTCCTTGGTCTGTCGTGATCGTGATAGCTACCCCGGTGACGTTCAGGTGACTTTTTTATCTCCTGTTTTTAAGAATCACAGTACAAACAATACAGAAATTTAGAACAAGTAAGATGTTTGGATTAGTAAAAATTATTATTTACATGATTAACATCTATCATGATATGAATGTAAATCCTGAAATTTTCTTGTGCATGAAATGTATATGGAATATAAGTATATTATGTTATGTTAAGTTTTATGTTATATTTGAAATTGCAAATTTTGATTGAAATTTTTTCTCAAATTTTGTGAGTGGTTCAGATTAATAAAAAAGGTTAATGCTACAAAACGACTGTATCACAACTGACAAGACAAATCTTTGCTATAATTCACCATGAAAATTACTTTTGTTTATAATTCATGAAAGTCTAATTTTGTTAAGTTTCTGGTTTTATAGAATGTAAAAATTTGATTGCAATATTTCTTTTTCATTTGATAAAGATGTACGTTTATAGGAACCAAACTAGTAAAATACATTTATGAATACATAACACTATAAATTAAGATAATAAGATGTATGAAAAATACAGCTGCAATCTGTATCTTTCCGCTATTCTTAGAGTATGTGGCAAATAAATCTTAGAAAGGACAGTCAATGGCTTGCCAATACATGTGGACTTTCTCACCCTTCCGCATGACCCTTAATCAAAAGCCAGCAGCAGCCAACTTTTGATATCACCTATTCAGAGATGCCAACCTCTTGACACAAAAAAGCAGACTGAATATCCTAAAAATCAGATTTTTACGAAAACTCGACACTACCACTGGCCCGTTGTTCCCGGGCCAGTGAAATTTCAGAAAAATGTTTCAATGGTAAAAACAGTCGAGTAAAATGTTTGCTCTTTCATTTAAATTTGATGAGAAAATTGTAAGGCAAAGTTTTTTTTTTGGTTTTATGGGGTGTTATATCTTTTTTTTTTTTTTTTTTTTTTTGAAAGATGAAAAATTGTATTTTAAAAGGTGATATCGTATTATCGTATTTCACTCTTATTATCTTACTAAATACAATTTAAGTGTACAGTGTTGGCATCTCTGCCTATTCAAACCTCAATGATCCCTCATTTTTTGCAGCAAAACAGGGCTTTGTCATTCATTATTGACGTCATGAACAAGTATGACTTGCCCCCGCATTTATAATTGCTGATGGATTTTAGGTGAACTTAATTAGAAGTAAGATGAGGAATATAAGATAACTTACAGGTATATCAATGTCATCATCACTGGAGTCTTCCATGTCGTCCAGATCCTCCTCCAGAGGGCTAACCTAGTATCACAAAGAGGGTCAAGGGTCAATGAATGTCAATCAAAACACATGGTCAGGCCTCCTACACAGAAAATATTAAAGGGATCCGGTAACTTTGTCTTAGATCCTTTTAAAAAATCCTTGATTTAGCTCATGCTGCAATGATAATTATATACCTTTAGGTCATTCAGGAACCCCATGACTTTTACAAGCCGATTGCCTGTCCGATTATCAAGATATTTATGATTGAAAATCGAAATCAAATTTTGCGTTTGCCAAACGGTTTTCATAACACTACCGTCTATTGGGGAAAATGAGTATGGTAAAACCGGTCACTCAAAGGTTTTTACTTTTTTAAGGCACTTCTTGATTATTTTGAAGCCCAAAATTTTTAAGGCTTCAATATAACACCATATCAAAGACACTGATAACATGTAGGGCCGTGCATCTCAGATTTAACATTGTTAAATGATCCCTTTAAAGATATTGTAAATGAACTTCTCATGGTGTTAGACCTCGTACATGTAACAGCCTTCAGCAGAGCTCTACAATACCCTTTTTTCATGGGGGAGAGGGTATGGATTGAGATTTTACTGGCTCTATGCATGAACCACTTTGTTAAAAGAGATGCTGAAATTTGGGACCCAGACACAATTTGTGGGCACCGATATAACTAGGTTTCTGTTAGTGATGAATCCTTGGCTTTAGTGATTTTGATGTAAACGCAAAGTTCACATGTGTAGTTTATTCACTTATTAATTGTGGAGATTCGTACAGGATGAAGAACTTGACATTTGACACTAGGCCTGTAACAGATGATCGGATCGTGGGCCGATCTTGAGCCGATCAGGGGTGATGCATGCCTACATTATAATCCAAGATGGTGGCCCGCATGTTTTGCCTCTTCTCTTAGACCAATATTATTAATTTGAAAGTCATGAAAAGGCACTTGATATTAAAAAAACATGGTCTACAACAACTCCGAATGACAAAATAATCCAAGCCATGAATTTTATTTGAGCATTTGATAGCCAAAAACTTGAAAATTTTCGGCATTAAAAAAAAATAAAAAATTGGCCGATCCGATACCGATCAAAGGTGCGAGAGTGTGGCTCCGATCTTCCGATCCGATCAGAGCCCCAACTTACAGGGTTATTTGACACTCCATAAATCGGAGGACTAGATCAACACAGCTTAGCCAAAAGTTGGCCAGCTTTTAAAGGTAAATCCAGTTCTTGTCATTAAGGCTGCGACGGGTAGTCGAATGCTCGAGTACCCGCACGGTTGACAACTACTCGGGTACGATTTCTTGTACCCGAATATTCGGCCGCAAAAAAAAAAAAATGTCCAGGCCCACGCTTACCCGTGCCAGGAAGAGCGGCGTCCGCTGGCATGGTACCGTCGTTAAAAATGTTTCCCAACTCTAGCACTGTCAAACTCACCTTTCAGAAACTGGGACCAAATGTCCAGATTTCTGTTTGGACTTGGAGGAAAATGGATTATTCTGCCATCTTTGGTTTTTAAAACAGCATTGTTTACTGTTATTATTCTTATTAAATCGGCGCCTTCAACTGCAACTCAAAGTAAAGTTGCATGCGTTTTCAGCGAGGGACCTGAGAAACTGCCGAGTGGTATGGTAGTGGCAAAAAAAGAAAAAAATCCAAAAATCCAAAAATCCAAAAATCCAAAAAAAAAAAAAAAAATGTAAAAAAATTCAAAAAAATTATAAAAAAACATGGCGTCCGAATATTCGAGTATTCGCCTGTGAGCCTGGGAGTGTACTCGGGTACCTCATTACACTGTTGTGCACAGCCCTACTTGTCATGCGATTGCATTGTGAAAGAAACGTCCTATCCAGTCCGGATATAATAATTTACGAAATATATCAATTAGTAGGCGGTTTCCAGGTAAAATTTGTATCATTACGTATTAGTCAAAACATATTCTTTCACATGATCGGTAATAAGAGTTTCCATTTCACTTTTTGAGAGGGGGCGTTTCCAAAACTGGTCTTTACCTTTAAAGAACATGGGCAAAAGGGTTACATGCATGCTACTGTCCTGTGTCATAAGCATCATGATGTCAGAACAAAGAGGTTATTGAAACCCTAGTCAATACTTACGCGTAGTTCAAGCTGCTCAGTCTCCTCCAGAATGTGTCTCTTCTGCACACGAGGGAGAATGATGTCACAGACTCTCTCTTCATTCAGGAGCTCGTCGATGAACTCATCAACATGGGATAAGAAATATCCTATGGAGTAGAATAATGTTTGAAGTTTGAAGTTTATTTATTCCACATTTTACATAAAAAATAGTTTATATTCTTTTTAATTTTTTTCTTTATACGAGTGTATATTATATAAGAGTAGATTTCAAACAAGAAAAAAAAAAAAAAAAAAAAATTCAAATCAAGTTTTTAAAAATCAAAAAAAAAAAAAAAATCTTGGTCCTAAATTAGGGTGCGTCTTATACACCGAGATTTACGGTAATTACGAACAAGTCAAAGATTGCCTAAGCCAAGGCACACGTCACTCAGTCCCATCAAGGTCGACTTGCGTGAGGTTGATTGTATCAGATGACAAAAATTAGGTAGAAAACATAACACAGGTGAGAAATGTGCAAAGGAAGACAAGAAAAGGAGCAGTGAAAAAAAATACACGGGCTCGGGGCGAAATAGCCCCCGAAATGCCCAAAAGAGCCCCCATAAATTTACATAGAGTTCAGTGCAAAGCAAATTTTAGAATGTTATTTTCAGACAGGCAAGCTTGAAAAGTAGCCCCCCGAAAAATAAGTATTAATTTTTTCCCTGATTACAGGAGCGAGTTATCTTGACCATGATGAGCTCTATAACGAGTGGTTCCTCGAGGGCGTTTATGTGTCGTAAATATTTTAGTAAATGATATTTCCATCAAATATTCTCTAGTAAGGCGAAGGCTGTGCATAACCGTGTAATGAGGTACTCGAGTACACTCCCAGGCTTACAGGCGAATCCTTGAATACTTGGACGCCATGTTTTTTAAAATTAATTTGTTTTTGTTTTGCCACCACCATACTACGGGAGCAGTCTCAGAAAACTCAACCCAATTTAATAATAACAATAATAGTAAAACAAAGCTGTTTTAAAAACCAAAGATGACAGAATACTCCATTTTCCTCATAGTCCAAACAGAAATCCAGACATTTGGTCCCAGTTTCTGAGTGGTGAGTTGACAGTGATTGAGTTGGGAAACATTTTTACCCACAGTACCATGCCGGCCCGGGAGAGCGGGGAAGGGATTAAAAAAAAAAAAAAAAAAAAAATGGCGGCCGAGTATTCGAGAACGAGAAATCAAACTCGAGTAGTTGTCAACAGTTCAAATACTTGAGTATTCGTCACAGCCTTATTCTCTAGTTTGATAGCCTACACAGGTGCATATGAGCTAGCAACTATTGAAATATAGTGAAATCAACCAAAATCAAGACTAGTTTAAATTTGTCCACTTACCACCAATCTTATCCTGTCTCCTGATCTTCCTGTAGTCATTGTACAGAGGTTCTAGGTACTTATAAACATCAAGACCTTCTCCCACCAGTCTGATATATAGTGCTCCAAGGCAACGCACATACCTAGGTAGGATACACATACAAAATAATTAATAGAGAGATATGAAAGATAAACTTAAGTTCTGGCAAAAAAAGAAAATGAATTCTCGCAGAATCTAACGAAACTTACACTATATGTTCAAGATTACAAATAAATGTCATATGCCAAACAATTTTGGAAGAAAATGTATACTGGCTGAGTAATGAGCATAGAAAGATAAGGAAATCAGTGTAGTACTAGCCCCGACACCATGTGTGTTGTCCCATATACATCTTTCTGTGTAAGTGATTGTTACTTTACCAAGACTCTGCCAAATTTGTGATGATTTTGATGACTCCAGAGCCTTGCATTACACACCATTACTTACATGCTACCGTAAATCTCCGTGTATAAGGCGCACCTGTGTATAAGGTGCACCCCTATTTTTTGGGGGGGGGGGGGAAAAAAAATAAAAATAAAAATAAAAAATAAAATCGTTTTTTGTTTTGTTGTTGTTGTTGTTTTGTTGCCGAAAACCCAAGCGGGGAAGGACCTTCATTTTACATCGAGGTGCAGTTGAAGTTGTGAACTTGTCACAAATAATAGTAACAACAGTCTAAGGCCTCATGATACCAAGTGTCCCACACCAGCCTCATCACATCACCTAGCAGAAGCACTGTGTTCTATGCCAAACATCAATAGTCATGCATAATATGAATAGCATCCTCTATCTTTCTAATAATGGAGTACCTAGGATAGAACCTTGTGGTACACCGTTTGTTATAGAAAAAATAGGAGATATTGCCAGGCATAGCGCCATAAAATCGAAACTAAAAAAAAAAAAAAAAAACATTCTGTACCTGTGTATAAGACGCACCCCCGACTTTCAAATTTTTTCGGCGGCAAAAAAGTGCGCCTTATACACGGAGATATACAGTATATGATCAACTTTTCTGATCCATTCCACACCTTTTCTTTCACAATGCAATCGCATTACCAGAACTCAAGTTTATCTTTAAGGGGGTGAAATGTAACAACCCAGTGTACTAGTGTATGAGAATTTTACAGGTAGGCAAACTTGTATATACATGTATTGTGTTTATTATTTAGATAGAAAAGGGATGTTCTACTTCATCTCAGCAGCAGCTCACTAATTGGATTGGCCTATTTGGTACTCTTCTTTCAGGACACAATAGCATGATTAAATGTTCTAAATCATAATCTATTAAAGGGATAGTTGAGTTTTGTTGCAGAGGGCACCAGACAAAATATTTTTTTTTGGTGAGATAATGAAAAAACTGAGTGTCAAATTTGAAAGAAAATACAATTTAAATGACAAGAATCTCCTTTGTGTGATCAAAATTGGTTCAGAGTCGGCTGAAATATCCATAAATATAACGATTTCAAATATTTGTGGTGCCCCACAAATATTTGATAAATTTGAACCAGCCCTTGAAAAAACGAAAAAGCGCCTTATATGTTTTATTCCAGCCAATGCCGATGTTGGCTTTTTGTTTGCTTTTTCAAGTTGGTTATAATATGCACAACCAGTCGGCTCGTTTATTTATTAATTAATTAATCAAATGGTCACTATATTTTTTTGAAAGTGAAGCTGAATTGGAATGGTCGTATAGGCAAAATTTCAAAAAAATGTTGGGGTCTAAATCATCAACGATCGTCCCCCAATTCGATGATCAGTTACAGGGTTTTATTGATGAACTATTTTTTCACTGTTATCTCCTTTATAATTTGCTGTAAACGTGGCACATGGGCACTGAACAGTAGGAATGCTTGAAAGCCCGAGACAATTATTCTCATTAGAAGGGGAATAGGTCTGCGACTCTTCCCTCTGTACTTACTTGAAGTCCTCATTTTTGATGAACTCGATAACAATGTCCTTCTCTGGCTGAATCTGTAGCATTTTCAGAAGCAGACACAGGAATGGAGACGGCTTGATATTACCTCCATAGGTACCTCCTATAAAACGCAACTCCATTGCTTTGTCCACTAGTAGTTCAGCTGGAAATGAAAGAGAATATTGTCAGTTACCTCTGCAAAAATGTGTTGGGCGTGGGACCTACCTAGGCCTGTTTCGAGTACACGTCCCAGAACTTCATTAAACAGGTACGGTAATAAAATTTCTACTGTGTACACAAAAACACATTCTAAACTTTATAAACAAACTCCCAAGGCAACCTATTATAAAGAAATATATATTGCATCTATAACTTTCAAGGTAAGGAGATGTCATTTGTATTGATTAAATTCACACCAGAATATTTATTTTTGATAGCCAGGCTCCTGGGTTTCGGGCATTTAAAATAGGTCTTAATATGCAAGCAACCGGTACCTCAGAAACTGCAATTCTTAACGAGTGTGTGAGCTATTAAACTAGACACCTCTACTAGTCCCTGCAATGTGCATTGTATGCACTCATGTGTATAAGAGAAGCGCGGTTGGATTGCATGCATCCCTATGCAGTCTACGTACATTACGCGATCATGCAAAATTGGTCAATGTTTTTATGAACAAATTGAAATTCAAACATTTATCGCTCGTGATCCTGAAGGTGAAACTCAATAAATGAGGTGTCATATGAAAGAGCAGGTTTTTTTCCATATTACCCAAAGTGACTCACCCCCGGAATTCTAAAATTATCTTGATCAAAAAAGCAATTTAAAATAGTTTCCATTGTAGCTCTGATCTTTGCCACTTTCCTGAAGTGAGCCCCAGGCTTATGTAGGGCTAGACGTAAGGAAAATATCTATGTGCTTATTTTTTTGCTAGCCCCAAGGGATCACAAGCAATAACAGTTTAAAAATACCCTTCCCCCCATTTTTGGGATCAGCTAATTCGGAAGGCAGTCCAAACCATGGTGACAACGCATATCTGACATTTTTTCCTGACAAATCTGCCAAGAGTCTAGGATATAAATAAATGAAAGTAGATCTAATACAAATACGATTTTCTGAAAATTCACGTGTGATTTTTAATGTTTCTTTTAAGTATATTTCTGCGCATTTGCAACAAATTTGATATGACGTTTGCGAATGTTCCTCCGATCCTTGCGTGTTGAAAGTTAGGTAATGTCTCGCGCATGAACAAATGGCTCGAAGGATCGAGAAAACAAAATGTCAAATGGAGAAATAAACAAGCTTTTGTATAGTTATTAGGGTCTAGAGATCTACCGAGGATTGTTTGTCGGTTTAATTTATCAAGCATCAAGAAAATCATCCCGGAATCCGTTTTTTGCATCGCCAATGTGCCGATCTGCATTTTTGCAGACGATACTTGTTTTTGAGGACGCATTGATCCGCGTTTACAAAGACGATCTTCGTTGATAAAGACGATACTTGTTCTCGGACCAGCGCCCCTACTGTACATGTAGCGTACAGTCAGGCTCTGGAGCCCCGACGCCTTTGGCGGCGGAGAACCCTGGCTATGGCCTGTATTGGCTGGGCCTGGCCTGCACTGTAGCCGTAGGAGAAGTGGACGAAAACAAGTGATCTGCTGCAGATCACCTAATAATTAAATAATCAGATATCACATATGCTTAAAATTCATACCACTTAGAGCGAAACATTCTTCCTTCCAGTATCTTGATTCATAAATTCTTGATCTTGTGATTTTTTCCACCAAATACTGCGGATTCTTCCCCTTGATGCTGCGAGCGTCTCGGACCGTGCGATTCGCCATCTTGGAAAAGCATTTAATGAATGTAGAGTGAAAAACAGTCGTTAAAAGATTACTCAGTATGTAGTTCTCCAAAAATCTTTTGATTAATATCTTTTATTGATTTAAAGATATAAATTAATCAAAAAAAAATAGAATTGTACTAAAAGCGAATTGTTTGTAGCTTAAAATTAACAATATTACATTTTTTTTAATAAGACCGTCTAATGAAAGACTATGCTTTATTATGTACACACGTGATACGTGTCGCGCGAAACGTAAACCCAACTTTGTTATCAACTTTATTATCAGCTCAGCTGAACTTTGTGTGTCACATTTTATGCCATTATTTCGAGGTTACAAGATGTCTGCAGACAGAATACAAAGAATGAGAAGGGAGAAAGGATTTGCATGGATCGGATCAGCCAAAAGTAACGGGAAAGCAAAACGACGCTGTAATAAACATTATGAGTGAGTACTGAGTCAGTGTTTACAATATTAATTTGACTGAAAAAAAATGGAGTTTGAGAGAGAATGAGTGTGACTGAGTGTGACTGTGACAATGTGAGTCTCTTTCTTTTCCTTCCTCTTTGTTGACTTTGTGGCATTCATGCACTTTTGGATAGGCTTAGTCTACATGTAGAGTCTACATCTATGTTGTAACGAAGTTGTAGACCTACATAGATCTACGTTGAGTATAGACTATAGACTAGGCTGAGTATAGACCCTAATTCAGTTCCAAACTCTCAATAATCATGATAATCTCAGAGTCAGAGTCTCAATCACTCTCGATTAACTCCGGGAAGCATCTGACGGACGCCGATGCCAAAGGCATCGGGGTCGGAGCTTCCCGGAGTTAACTCTCGATCAGTCTCAATCTTTAATTTTTATGTCTTTTTAATTTATTTAGATGGCCGGATTATGACGTGGTGGGTTGGCGTTGGATTTTTACTTGACAGGTTCACTTTACTAGCTTTTTTGGATACTTGCGTAGAACTGTTTAGACTAGAGTTAGAGTTAGAACAGTGGGAAGACTTCCATAATTTGCGACAGCCACTTAAATTGAATATAAAAAATAATAAATAATGGTCTGTTTTCATCAAACTTTCAGATTATCATAACTTGTACATGTACTAGCATTGAAGTCACTAAAGTAAGCACCATTTTCTCTCATCTGAAAATATTTACCAAGTCCCTTTAAATGGATATTTGTTTTAAGTAATCCATTGAACAATGATGTCATCTCACAAACACATGGGAAGACGTACCATTCCAGACCATACTCAATTGATTATTCTCTTGCTGAATTAATTTTATTTTTACTGAGTGATTTTCTGCAGTTTTTGCTACATGTATGTAGATCTAGGCCTAGAAGTAGTACAACAAATGAATATCATGACTTGATTTTTCCTTCATTAAAACATTAGGGTCTACATGATCTGTGTTTTTAACTTCACAGACTGTGTGTTTTATGTAACTGATTTATTATGATACTGATACTAGCTGTGACAAATGCACTTTCACTAAAGATCTCAATTAATTTTCTTTCACTATTTTGCAGAGGATTCCATCTTCCAGGAATTGGTGTAATCAAAGTGGGGGACCATGTCCTCATAGAAGGGGAATCAGATGAGAGTTTTGTGGCTCTTATTGAAGACCTCTTTGATAATGGTAGGTATTGACTCTTTCTACTCTTAATTCCTGGCTACAGTACATGTACATGTACCTTATTGTTATTTTTTAAAATTTAAGTTGCAAAATGCAGGCCTAATAATTAATTAATTTGAATCGGTTTCCTGATTTTTTTCCCCCCAATTTTTTTTTCTTCCCCCCCCCCGATTTTATCCCTGTTTTCCCTATTTTCCCCTTATTTTCTCTATTTTCCCCTATTTTTCCTTTATTTTTCCTCAATTTTTTTACTCAAGGGGGGCGTGGTTGAGGGGAAAACAAAAAACCTATTTTTTTTTAGTGCTCGCTATCACCCCTGATAATAGGAAGTATAGGAAGTCATAAAATGTATGACTGGTATAAGAACTCTGTTTAGAGTCTTGCCATCTAGCCCTATAAATATTCCATAAGATCTAAGGATATCTGCCCTTGGGAAATTAAGGGTTATACAACTGTATGTATGAATATGAATGGATTAGATGTTCAGATTTGAATAAAATTTTTGTAAACCAGCTCTTTATTCTTACAAGTTACCAAGTTATCAATATGGATTATATTATAGTTTGTTTTCATTTTATATGAGACTATTATTTTATCAAGGTAAACTTAATTCTATGATCATTGTCAAAGTCAATGACATCTGGGGAATGAGATAACAAGAGGTGTAATCAGTAATTCATTTCCCTCCTCTCTCTCCCTTGCCATAGGACAAGAGGATACCGATGACCCTCGTAGGGCCAAGGTCCAGTGGTATATGCGCCCCTCAGAATTGCCCAAGACAATTGCCCGAAGCTGCCCTCAGCGCCCCTCTCCAGGGAGATCTACAAATACAACCAGTCTAAAGGAGCGTCTACAGATGTGGAGATCGATGCAGAGACCATTATTGGAAAATGTGTGGTAGGTTGACATTGTCTCCTCCTATAGAGCTTGGTAGTCTTTAGCAAGGCTACTGGGGGGTGTTTCACAAAGACCCAGATTCGAACTTAACTCTAAGTTGGACCTAAATATTATGGAGAGCCATTTGTAGCCTTAAAATAAAATACTTTCAAAGCAAAAATTCAAGTATTTTAGACTTTTCATAAATTCCACATCAAGAACATGAAATCTCCTTGACAATATAAAATATGAATGATTTAAATCAACATTTTATGCCTTTTAAAATAACTTTTACAAAATATTTTCAATGATGCTAACGGCTTTCCATAATTGTAAATTCTAACTTAGAGATAAGTTCAACTAAGGATCTTTGTGAAACACCTCCCTGATCTTATACCAATAAGTCATAGTGAGAAATCATTGTTATAGGCAACCCTTATGAAAACTGTAACCAAAATAACAAAGAATGATGTTGAATAAGCAGTTTTTGGAGAAATCTGAGTCAATTACCCCCATCCTCTTTTCAAATGTTCATCATCTTCCGTTCTCAACACATGACCCATCCATCTCAATCCACTTCTCTTTATTACTTCCATCACAGGTTCTCCCAGACCTTCCAATGAGCTGATTTGTGTTCTCTTTTTTTTTTAAATTTCGGATAGATAGGACACAAGTGAGCTCATGGAAAGGGTTAGGTCTGGGAGGCGTTTCACAAAACTTTTCATCAGTGACAAATGACAATTTTTGTTATAAGCTACTGAAACCCTTGCTTCTGATTTGTTATCAGCAGATTTGTCACTGATTTTTGTCATTTGTCGTTGAAAAAAGGCTTGTGAAATGCCCCCCTGGAAGAAACTTTGGTGGAAGTGGTAAAAGAGAAGTGAATTGAGACGGTTGGGTCATGTGTTGAGAAGGGAAGATGATGAACCTATGAAAAGAGCATGGGATGATCTGGACGTGGATGGTATAAGAGGGAATGGAAGACCTAAGATTACATAGAAAGATTTAGTAAAGAAAGAAAGTCGTTTGGTTGGTCCAAGCGAAGAGAATGCTCAAGACAAGAAAACATGGAGGGAGTTTCATTGTGGCCCGAAAGTCAGTAACCCCTCGTAAAAGGCCAAATGCTGACTTTAGTAAATGATAATGATGATGTAGAAATTTGTATTAATCTCTTATTGATATTAAACACTCCATTGCCACAGCATACAGGTAGTTGAATTTATTTTTAAACAACGTTTATATCAATCTTCAACGCTAAATTTTCTCATTAGAAACTTTACTATTTTGAATAGTGCTTGGTCGACATGAATATTGTACTACACCATTCCTAATATGAAAACAACTTGCAAGTACAAGGCAAGGCAAGAATTAATTTGTTTAAATACTCTTTCTTGTATATATATATATATATATAGCAGTAAGTAACCCTGTAAGTTGGGGCTTTGATGATTTGATCGGATCGAAAGATCGGAGCGACACCCTCGCACCTGTGATCTGTATCGGCAAAAATAATCAGCAGATTTTTTAAATATTTTTTATAATTGCCGAAAATTTTCAAGTCTTGGGCTATCCGATCATTTTTATTGATCAGCGATCAGAATTTATTATCCAATCTCACCTGATCGGCTCAAGATCGGCCCCTGATCTGATGATCGTTTACAGGCCTAACAGTAAGTGAATTTATCGCATTGATATACTCACAGGTTGAGACAGTAGAAGTTGACAGCGATCCACCAGATGAGAAGGAAAACCAAGGGATACCAGTCTTGTATGCTCGCTATGGCATCAATGTAACCACTGTGACACCTCTTATTGAACCTGAGAGTGAAGAAGAAGAAGAAGAAGAAGAAGAAGAAGAAGAGGAAGAGGAGGACGAAGAAGAAGAGGAGGAGGACTCAGAAGAAGAAGAGGAGGAAGTGAAGAAAGTGGTCAAGAAGAGCTCTCAAAAAGTGAATTTGAAGCCAGTGAATAAAGGTAAGACTATTCTTCCAGTTGAAACATTAAATGGAATCTTAAAATTTTGATTCCAAAATGATTCTGTCTATTGAAGATAAAGGTGAGTTCTGGTCATCCGATTGCATTGTGAAAGAAAAGGTGTGGAATGGATCAGAGAAAGTGGATCATGTAGCATGTAAGTATTGGTGTGTACTGCAAAGTTCTGGGGGGTGTTTCACTAAAGCCCTAAAATCGATCTAAAATCAATTTGATCGATTTTAAGGGCCTAAAATTGATTTCGATTTTAGCAGCAGTTTCACTAAATAAATAAAATCGATTTTGGCCTTAAAATCGATTTTAACTTAGAGTGTGATCCATATCAATTTTAAATCAATTTTATCCTTAGTCTTTGCATTATTGATATGCTATGTTCAGCATTCAATGGTTTTAAAGGCATAAGTGTCGGCTAGCTTCATACATCTGAAAATGAAGAATCCTGTTAAAAATGAATGGCAATTTTTTTTTGGGGGGGGGAACAAATCTTTGTTCATATAGTAAGGCATGATCAATACCAAATTTGGCACTCTGGTGGGGGGGGGGGGGGGGGGAGCACAATGGCCCATTTTTTCTTCAAAAATACATGGGCGGCCCGTTTTCACCTTAACCCAATCTAGCCTGGGAGGGGGGGGGGGGCCTTATCCAGCCGGCGGCACGGGAGGACGCCCAATTCGTGAGACGATACTTAGCAGCGAAACAGCCGGCCGATAATTCGCTCATTGTGGGGTAAGGGGGTTGGGTGAGCACTGTTTTTTTTTTTGGGGGGGGCCCTCGAAAAATGTTAACAATCGCACCCCCCACCCCCCTTGAGCGCCAGGGGAGGGGGCCCATCTCCAAAAAAAGGTAGAGTTAACGTAACACGTTATTTTTCCCAGGGGAGGGGGCCCGGGCTCTCTACATCTGTCACTGCTTAGAAGTGCCCCCAGGCTATGCAGTTTTTAAAAATAACCCATGCTAGATAGGGTTGAAGTGCCCCTTTTACATCTGATTAACAACCCTTTGTTTATTAAAAGTGCACTTTTCCTTTATGTAGTTTGTCCCGTTTCTCTTTGTTTTAAAGTTCCTCATGTTATTTCTAATAACTTCTTATGTTTTCTTCTTAGAAGTGCCCCTTTTCCATTTTGTTATGTGCCCCCTTCTCTATATTTGTTTAACCATATGTGCTTAAAATTATGTGTCCTTACTCCGTTCATATTCTCTCTCTCTCTCTCTCTCTTTCATTAAAATAAAATGACACTCCCATCACAACGCTTAGCTTGCCGCCCCTTTCAAAGTAATTTTGTTTCTTCATATAAACACCCCCCCCCCCTTTCCCACACAAAAATAAATAAAGAACAAAAATGAATAAATAAACACTAACTTATAACAAGATCATTACTGGGATATTTGAATACTCACCAGCAAACAAACACACCATTATTGAATCACATCATTGCTCTTTATCATCATGTAATAATTATCACCATGCGCTAGCGTACAATCTCATCTATTCATCCCCCCCCCCTTTTATCTTCTTAAAAGACAAAAAATACATACAAAATAAAATTAACACAGATTTTAATGTCTAATCAATATGCTTATGCTTTAATGAATGAAATCTACGTTTTGTAAATGATGAGCATAGCAAATACATTCAAGGGATACAATAAGAACATTTTAAAAGACACAAATGAAAGTGCTACTATGAAAGTATCAGCCAGTTGTTAAAACTACTGCAGCTGATATCTGCCACTCTATATTCGAGTTACTTTTAAGGAGATTAAAAGAGTAATACTTGTCACAAATATTTCTGTTACTCATATGTTTGTTAATCTATGGATGATATACATTGTCATCTAGCTAGGTCACGCAGTCGGTGAGAATGTGATTTTCTTGATACAATAGTTTGTCTATATGAAATTAATCATCAATTCTTTTCTATCAGCTTTGAAATAGCTTAGGAATTAATTTGTAAATCTTATTTTACAAGTAGTGTTGGTTGTAAAAGTGACCAGTCCATGATACCAAGATCTGTATCTCATTGTGGTCTCTCTTGCTTAAAGCTGGAAAAGGGAGCTTCTATCTGTGGGCTGGCTGATGTTTCATAGGAAGCATAACGTTGCAGGTAATTCAGGCTCTGCAGTCTAGAATCAGAATTTAAAGTTATGGAAAAAAATGAATCAATTAGTAAATACTAGTGCAATTTTTCAACCCATCTTCAACTTTTGTATTCATGCTTATTTCAAATACTTTAATTGCTAAATAAATAAAGAAGAAGAATACAAAATATTCTTTAAAAAAATTGAGACAAAAGTAGTTTTAGTTATAGAAGATAAATGATTGTTTGCTTTGGAGAAAAAAAATCCTTTCATAACCATTTGTGTACTTTTTATACAACAGAATGGTTAATATGGGTTTTAGACTTCTTACAAGGATTATGAAAAATGTACTGACTAATGTCTTTTCATTTTTAATGACTGCTGTAGAGGTATGACAACAATGGCAGGCACAGAACATGCTGATAAGACCAATCATGGTAATTGATACTGCTTACCTTTTCAATTTGAAGAGATGGACAATAAAGTCCATATGTCATGAACTAGCAGTACATGAAGATGCCATAGCTCTTTATTTTGCAACCTAAGATTTAAAACAGAGATACATAATTGTGATGAAGAGAGCACATCTATTTTCCAGAAAAATATTTGTCATTGTATCTAATGTGTTCAACAGAACATAAGTTCATTTTTATCAGTAATTACAATAGCAATTTACATGAATTTGGTCCCACACATTGTTACCAACCACATTGAAAGTTTTAGACATTTGCAAGATTGACTATGGAGTCTAATCTTGATCTCGGTTACCCTACTCTTGGACCAAACAATGTTGTACACTCAATGAACATTCCCCTGTCGTGAGTAAAAGGGAAAGATATACCTCAGCTGGTAAATAACAAACAGCTTACATCATACATATATGCTCATAACAATTTGTTCAATCACATTTTTATACATTAATTGCTGCCCTATTATTTGTAATATTTATCAGTCTGGCTGACGTAGTAATTTATCTTTGATTTAGACATGCCATGGTTGACTTCTCCTTACATGGATTTATCAGTTTGTGATTGTACGTAGAAAATGTAATGAAAATCAAGATTACACCCTCAACAACAATTTATTAATTTATTTATATGTAGGGTCTAGGTCTAGAAGAACCACACAAAAAAACTTACCTTTCACTTGTTTAAATATTGGTGTGCAATTTTTACTAGTAAAAAGATCACTTCACAGGGCCGCTTAGCACAGTAGGATCTAGTCTAGAGTCTATAGCTGTACACCTAGACATTGAGTTTGAGTACATTCTGCATATCCAAACCCTTTCCTTATTGAGCCAGAGGCCGAGGTAGAAATTAGTAGTAGAATGAGAAGTCCAAGACTGTAGAGAGTAGAGACACGGCAGAAGAGAACTTTTGAGTCTTGAGGTCCACTCCATCTTTGAGTCTGACTCTTAAAAGAAAAATGAAATTAAGAAAAAAAAAAATAATATAGGGAGCCTAAGGCTTAGTGACCCTAATAGTCTACTGAGTAATAGATCTAGACCTAATTTTAATATTAATATGCCTGGACCTAGGCCTACTAGACTAGTCTACAATCCAACTTGTTACTGTAGCGCTAGTAGGTATAGGCCTAGACTAGATCTAGACCCAACTGAGCAACTCCCAGTAGACCTCGGCTCTAGTCTAGACTAGATTATAGGTCCACATCTAGGAGTAGGACTAGTCCAGCAGAAGAGAGCTGCAGACTGCAGTATGCTAGAGCCTTAGATCTAGACCTAGTAATAGTTGGAGAGGCTAGGTCTACATCTTCCCTAGATCTAGTATCAAGTATCATTATCAAGTAGATCTAGATCTAGGCCGAGAACTTAGATCTAGACCTAGACTAAATCTAGAGTCTAGAGGTCTACATCTAGACTAGATCTAAATGTAACTTGGGTCTAACAGCAACACTCTAGACCATCTACTCTCTAGAGTCCAGACTAATCTTCTTCTTCATAAAATATTAACGTCAAAACAATGATCCTGTTGTCTGTTGATTTTTAATTTTATTATCAACAAAAACAAGACAAGGGCCGCTAAAAAAATAGATAGATCTAGGCCTAGATCTAGGCCCTAGAATAGAGGCCCTAGGCCTGTATATTGTATATAACCCCAAGACTATTGCAAGAATAAACTAGATTAATGAGTTTGTACCTGCCCTAACCGTCGGTAGAAAATTCCTATTGAACCTGCATGAATTTATATGAATGGGACTGAAATTATTGAACCAGTGCAATTCGTCCACTTTTTAGCCCAGTTGGGGGTGATATCAATTGATATTAGTCTATCTAAAGTTTTGTTCAGTTAAACACAAATGTAATTCTATAAAAATGACAGGAACACTTTTCTTCTTCCAAAATAAAAGATTTTTTATCAACAGAATTAATATTTTGAAAGAAAAACGGAATTTACTTACTTTTTCAAGGACTCTCTGGCAGTAGTTTAGCAAGCAATTTTGTGATCGATTTACCCCAAATTGACTAGCCTTGATTGCAGACACCTAAAAATCTATTTTAGCTTAAAATCGATTTGATGAAACAGCTCACACGTATCGGTTTTAAGCTAAAACTGATTCGGCCTTAAATTGATTTTTAAAATCGAAATCGATTTTAGTTGATGAAACACCCCCCAGGAGTCATCAAGATCATAATAAATTTGGCCCAGTCTTGGTAAAGTAACAAGCACTGTACACAGAAAGATGTAAATGGGACTCCACAAATGGTGTCGGGGCTACTAACCTTGATTTCCAATCTTTTAATGCTCATTACTCAGTCAGTATACATTTTCTACCAAAATTGTTTGGCAAATGACATTTTTTTGTAATCTTGAACATTCAGTGTAAGTTTCGTTTGATTCTGTGAGAATTCATTTTCTTTTTTTTACCAGAACTCGCCCCTTTCTTTAAGAATGTGAAGGTTTGATGAGCTTGAAGAGAACTTAACACTTTCTTGATTTGTGTCTTTTCAAATACCTGTCTTTATAAGCTGTAATTTTTAAAGGACCATACTTGCTTCCAATGAAAATACCTCTCAATTCTTTCTTTCCCCTTGCATCTTGAATCAGGTCTTACACCTAGGAGAAATCAAACCTTCACTGCGGACGAAGTATGGGATATGTTTTCATCTGATGACGACATGTCGCCATGGAAACAAACAAAGAAGAGCCATTCCAAGAAGCCTGCAGTATCAACAAAGAAGGAATCCTGGAAAGTTGGCAGTGTCAGTCGTTCGGGTGGTAGAATAAATCTCATTGGAATCAAACCTAAAGTTCTTGAGGGCTTGGAGATGGAAGAGAAGATGACTCGTGGAGGACGACTAATAAAACCAACTCCCAAGATGAGCGTTGCCAAGGAAACAAAAGCACAAAGCAAGTCAACATCAAAGAAGCAACTGCCTACCACTCCCATTCAGAAGTCCAAGGTGGTAAAGACACCAAAGACCGTTGGAGGTCGAGTTGGTCGACCATCCAAGGTTGAATCATTGAGGAAGACCCAGAGCTGTCTGAAGGAGAGCGTGAAGCAGAAAAATAATGCATCCACACCCAGGAGGAGGAAGTTGACATATTATGAAGAGGAGGAGGATGAAGATGAGGAGGAGGATGAGGAGGAGAACTTCAAAACACTAAAGAAGAGGAAAATGTCAGCTTCATTAAAATCTACACCACAAGTGAGTAAATAATGGTTTTATTGCTTACCTGTTCCGTCTCCCCCTCTCCCCCTCTCCTCTCCTCTCCCCCTCTCCTCTTCCCCTCTCCTCTCCTCGCCTCCTCTCCTCCTCTCCTCTCCCCCTCTCCTCCTCTCCTCTCCTCCTTTCCTGCTCTCCTCTCCTGCTCTCCTCTCCCCCTCTCCTCTCCCCCTCTCGTCTCCCCCTCTCTTCTTCCCCTCTCCTCTTCATCTCTCCTCTCCCCCTCTCCTCTCCCCCTCTCCTCTTCACCTCTCTTCTCCCCTCTCCTCTCCCCCTCTCCTCTCCCCCTCTCCTCTCCCCCTCTCCTCTCCCCCTCTCCTCTCCCCCTCTCCTCTCCCCCTCTCCTCTCCCCCTCTCCTCTCCCCCTCTCCCCCTCTCCTCCCCCTCTCCTCCCCCTCTCCCCCTCCCCTCCCCCTCTCCTCCCCCTCTTCTCTCCCCTCATCTCCTCCTCTCCTCCTCTCCTCTCCTCTGCCCCTCTCCTCTCCCCTCTCCTCTCCCCCTCTCCTCTCCCCCTCTCCTCCCCCTCTCTCCTCCCCCTCTCGTCTCCTCCTCTCCTCTCCCCCTCTCCTCTCCTCTCCCCCTCTCCCCCTCTCCCCCTCTCCCCCTCTCCTCCCCCTCTCCCCCTCTCCTCCCCCTCTCCTCCCCCTCTCCTCTCCCCTCATCTCCTCCTCTCCTCCTCTCCTCTCCTCTGCCCCTCTCCTCTCCCCTCTCCTCTCCCCCTCTCCTCTCCCCCTCTCCTCTCCTCTCCCCCTCTCCCCCTCTCCTCCCCCTCTCCCCCTCTCCTCCCCCTCTCCCCCTCTCCTCCCCCTCTCCTCTCCCTCTCCTCCCCCTCTCCTCTCCCCCTCTCCTCTCCTCCTCTCCTCTCCCCCTCTCCTCTCCTCTCCCCCCTCTCCTCTCCTCCTCTCCTCCCCCTCTCTCCTCCCCTCCCCCTCTCCTCTCCTCCTCTCCTCCCCCTCTCCTCTCCTCCTCTCCTCTCCCCCTCTCCTCTCCTCCTCTCCTCTCCCCCTCTCCTCTCCCCCTCTCCTCTCCTCTCCCCCCTCTCCTCTCCCCCTCTCCTCCCCTCCCCCCTCTCCTCTCCCCCTCTCCTCTCCCCCTCTCCTCTCCCCCTCTCCTCTCCTCTCCCCCTCTCCTCTCCCCCTCTCCTCTCCTCCTCTCCTCTCCCCCTCTCCTCTCCCCTCTCCTCTCCTCTCCCCCTCTCCTCTGCCCCTCTCCTCTCCCCTCTCCTCTCCTCTCCCCCCTCTCCTCTCCTCCTCTCCTCTCCTCCTCTCCTCTCCCCTCTCCTTTCCCCCTCTCCTCCCCTCTCTCCTCCCCTCCCCCTCTCCTCTCCTCCTCTCCTCTCCCCCTCTCCTCTCCTCCTCTCCTCTCCCCCTCTCCTCTCCCCCTCTCCTCTCCTCTCCCCCTCTCCTCTCCCCCTCTCCTCCCCTCCCCCCTCTCCTCTCCCCCTCTCCTCTCCCCCTCTCCTCTCCCCCTCTCCTCTCCCCCTCTCCTCTCCTCTCCCCCTCTCCTCTCCCCCTCTCCTCTCCTCTCCCCCCTCTCCTCTCCTCCTCTCCTCCTCTCCTCTCCTCCTCTCCTCTCCCCCTCTCCTCTCCCCCTCTCCTCTCCTCCTCTCCTCTCCCCCTCTCCTCCCCTCCCCCCTCTCCTATCCTTCTCTCCTCTCCCCCTCTCCTCTCCTCTCCCCCTCTCCTCTCCCCTCTCCTCTCCTCTCCCCCTCTCCTCTCCCCCCTCTCCTCTCCTCTCCTCCTCTCCTCTCCCCCTCTCCTCTCCCCCTCTCCTCTCCTCTCCCCCCTCTCCTCTCCCCTCTCCTCCCCCCTCTCCTCCTCTCCTCTCCCCCTCTCCTACCCCCTCTCCTCCTCTCTCCCGGGCCCCCTTTGTGACGTATGAGAGGTAATCTTTGTTTTGAATCAATAGAAGAAAAAAATCACAAACACTTTGCTTGGAGTACGTGTTTATCAGCACCTGTTGTCAACCAAATCAGAGTTTTCCTTGTGAGAACCTCTCCTTTCCAAATTTGCACTGTGTGAATGGTGCCCTTGAAGTCAAATCTGCCAACTTTACTGAATATTCCTATCACTGTCGTATTAGACTAGTATCAAAATTCTTTTCATTTTTTACAGATTATCGGCAAGAAGAGAAACTTTTCAAAGAAAGATGCAACCCCTGGTATTCATAGCAGATCAACCCCCTGTAAGACCCCTTCACAGCCTCTGGAGCATGCACGAGTCAGGTAGGAGAAACTCTCATTATCTTTTGGTTGCTAGAGTTATTTGTAATATGAATATTGAAGACGAATGCAATTTTAAAAACCTATTAGCATCCTTTTTATAGATGCACAGATTGTCAAAAAGAAATACATAAGAGCATTAACAATTTTCCGTAGTTATTCTTCAAATGATTACTAATATCATCTTAAAAGGTATGGCTCACGTTTCATTTCATAGCAGCCCATTCTTTTCGCTTTTATTTTATGTTAATGTTTATAAAACCAAACTGGTTATGAATATGCAATACTATGAATAACTATGCACCAGAATCTCTGGTTATAACTATGCGGTTGATTAGCTCAACATGCTAGATACAGAATCTCTCAGGCATTATATGTGGAGGTGTCATAGTCAAGTGGTTTGAGCACTTGACTGTTAATGCAAAGGTCATGGGTTTGATCCCCGACATGGCACTAATGTCTTTTGGCAAGGAATTAATCTACATTTGCCACTCCTTACCCTGGAGAGAAATAGGGAGCAGGTAGGATGAGGAAAGTCTTTGTGATGAATGACCACATGGTTGGTCAGAATTATCCCCAGGAAATGGAGATAATGGACACTGCATGAACACGATTAGAGGGGTGATAATGATATCTGTAAAGAGCTTTAATAGAGTGGTGAAGTGTAACGTCATAAAAAATCTATTTTGAGAATTTCCCAATTTTTTTTTCATTTTCCGAAAGAGCATAAAAAATGATATCCAAATGTCGAAAACCAATTGAATATGTTAACTGTTGGCTGAGATGTGACCATCTGAATAAATATATTTCCCATAGAAACTCAGTGTTATATGCTCTGGCTCCTAACCATCAGGAGCCAGTTCCCATAGGACATCCATTCATTCAGATAGTCATATCTCAGCCAATAGTTAACATATTCAATAGGCTTTCGACATTGGACATTATTTTTGATGCTCTTTCGGAAAATGAAGAAAAAATTGGGAAATTCTAAAAATTTATTTTTATGACGTCACAGCTTCAGTACTCTATAGAGACAGTATTTTGTATCAAGCGCTATATAAATCCAGATTGATTTGATTTCTTGTTACTTCCGTTTGCTGTGAAGGTTGCATGTCTCAGCAGTACCAGACAGTCTCCCATGTAGAGATCAAGAGTTTGCTGACATCTTCTCTTTCGTCAAGTCAAAACTATTAGATGGTACAGGAGGGTAAGTCCATAATAGTCAGGCCTGATAAAATACCTGATTTTTTTTTGATTTTTTCCTGATTTTTTCCTAATTTTTTCTTTTCTTCCCGATTAAAAAAAAAAAAAAAATCCTGATTTTTTTAAATTTTGTTTTTTTACCAGATTTTTTTTTCTTCCTGATTTTATCCTGATTTCCCTATTTCCCCCTTATTTTCTCTATTCTTCCCTATTTTGCCCTATTTTTTTCCCAATTTTTTCCCAATGTTCTTACTCAAAAAGGGGGATTTAGCAATTATAGAGGTGCAGTTAAGGAGGTTGAGAGAAATGAGACAGTCAAGACATTGGAAAGGAGAATAAGAAATGATAAGAGGGTTTTTGTATAATTCTGTATTTAAAAATCATTTGGTCGGTGGAGATGGGGATGAGAATGTTTACAAGTAGTAAAAAACCGATGACAGGAAAAAAAGTATATCAGAAAAGAGACTGATCAGCACTCGAAATAGATAAGAAAGCAGAGAAAACAGGAAATGATGAAAGAATCTTTGAGGGATAAGAAGCAAAGTTATAATAGAGGGACAAGTAAGAATATTAAGATTAAACTATTAAAGATAATGAAATCGAAGTTTGTTAACCAATCTTCATATTCGTTCTCCAGCTGCATGTATATCTCTGGCGTGCCGGGCACAGGCAAGACGGCTACAGTCATGGAGGTGCTTCATTGGCTGAAGCAAGATGCTGAATCGAAAGATATACCCAAGTTCAAATGTGTGGAGGTCAATGGAATGAGACTAACCAACCCTCATCAGGCATATGTTCACATTATTAAGGTATCTTGGAATATGAATATATATATATATATATTTTGTTTATACTATTGAACTTGCAACATTGTTGCAATTGTAATTGGTACATTTAATTACCTGGGAATAAAAGCAAAAAAAAAAAAAAAAAAAAAAAAGCACCATAAATCTATGAGTTAATTGTCGTAGTAAGACCTCAAAAATGGTGTTTTGCAATACATAAATCATCATCATTAGATCACATAAATTGTTAAATCAAAGAAAGATAATTTAGAAATTTTATTTGAAACTGTTTTGGAAAAATATGATTCCTTTTTAGATATCACATATAAATCAGTATTTTGTAATTATTTGTTAACACTGCATCAAGAAGTTGTACTTAAATGCGTTCATCTCATTATATCCTTATTTCATGTTAGATACTACTTGAGAGTAAATCTGATTTCTTCAATATAAATCACTATGAACATGACGGACAAAGAAAGAGGACAAAATATACAGTTCCTCATTCTACCCTCAACAATTGCTGTGGTAGACAAAGGAACATCCCTTCACTGCTGTTATGTAAAAATGTGTAGAACAGGTGTCACATGCATATTCACCTGTTCTACACATTTTTACATAATAGCAGTGAAGGGATGTTCCTTTGTCTACCACAGCAGTTGTTGAGGGTAGAATGAAAAACTGTTTATTTTTTCCTCTTTCTTTGTCCGTCATGTTCATAGTGAATGCAGTTTAATATACATTCATTATTACTATGTTTATTCACCTTCCTAGAGTCTAACTGGGAAGAAAGCAACCCCAGAGCATGCAGCTACTCTACTAGATAAACTTTTCAGTGCAAACAAAGCCACTAAGATGCCAACAGTACTCATTGTAGATGAGGTAAATATTTAACACAGGATTCTTTATTTCTTTTTCTTTGAGATCAATATCGTTCTCAAATGTATTTTTTAATGAAATGGTGTACATTTAATGTGAGGGAAGGAATCCTGTGTAAAAAGTCAAGAGAAAATTTTATTCAAAGAGTATGCATAAAATTAGTAAACAGGTCTATATGGGCACAATTGAAGATACCTTTCAAAGTTTCAAAGTTTTGGATAGGAACCATGAAAATACTTTGTATCTGTATCTCGTCTGCCGGGTGGCAGAAGGCTGTTAGCGGGCGAGCGACTCGAAAACTACTTTTCAAATTTTTCGCATTTAAAGATTTGTTTATATTTAAACTGCCTTCCGTCCCAAAAATTGGTTTAAAACATTAAAGACTAATAGAAATGTTGTAGTACAACAAGGTCACAATTTTTTCTCGGAAAATAAGTCAGTTTTATAAAAGTTTGAGGCCATTTAGTGCTAATGCCCTTCTGCTTAAAGTTTCATTATTGACCTGAAATTTGAGCTAACTCCCTTCTGCCAGCCAGGCGACGATCTGTCAGTGACGTACAATCACCAGCATTTGGTTGTCGCGTACATTGGGTTAGGGTCAAACGCCAAACACGCCTAAATATTGAAGTGTGCTTCGGCTACAAGGTTTTCAATATCTAATGAGTCCAATTTGATTTTAAAAGTTTTCACATCGGGTGAGTTTCTGGTTTGCTCATCTAGATGATTCCATTCGGGGACGGTCTTGGGGTACAGCGAATGCCGGTAGCCTCTCTCTCTTTTGTTTTCTTTATCCTGATATAACAAGGACCTCATTATAACGAGGTTCCACTGTATTTAAATAAGAACTATGCTAACGACTGTACCTTTCTTCAATCTCGTTGCAGCTTGATCTGCTATGGACTCGCAAGCAGGGTGTTTTGTACAGTATCTTTGATTGGCCAACCAGACCTAACGCTCAGCTGATTGTTGTTGCCATAGCAAACACCATGGATCTCCCAGAGCGCATCATGATGAACAGGGTGGTCAGCAGAATGGTATTAAAGCCCCACTGTCCTACTTGTAGCAACTTGCTCCCTCTATATAGAAAACTTCCTCAATTGGTGCTTCTTGGTCTCCCATGACCCTCTTTTTCTTATGTTAGTTGAGAGCTGAGTTGATGAGATAGCCACCTGTCAGTGACCTGGCTGGGTGGTTTAATCCCTTCTGGCCCAGTAGTATTGACGGTCTTTAAGATCTGAATTTTATCATCTTTTATCCTCTTTTGAAATGTGTAAAACACACTTCATACTGCTTTCAATTTTTTATCCAGTGAAAGTATGTGAAGTTTGATTTTGTCATTTTTCTTTAAACCTTATTATCGTTTTGTATAAATCTATTGACCAGAAGGTCACTGCACCATTTTGTCATATTAGTTTTTATGGACTGTTAGTTACACACATCCACAAAACAATACTTTATCTTGTAACTGCCCATTTCATTAATATTAAGAGATGTACTTATAATCTATCAGAATTCTGTCAATGTATTCAAGATTATGGTGAAACAAAAGATTTCTGCTGTGTTTTGGGCAATAGAAACAGATGTTTGTTACTCTGATTATCAGTGCAACATGTGAATTTACAAATCGATTTTCTGTTTTTTGTAGGGACTGACTCGAATGACCTTCCAGCCTTACACTTACAAACAACTTCAAGAGATAGTTGAAAGTCGTCTCAAGGGCATTGATGCTTTCAATTCAGATGCTGTTCAGCTTGCAGCAAGGAAGGTAAGAGAGTCTAGAAAAGAAGTTTAGACAAATCTATTTTTGTAATGAAGGATGCAACAGAGACTGACGTTGTGGAGAATTAAATTGTTGATAATGTCACAAAATTTGTTCTTTTGGGGTAAAATTATAAAGTTCATACAACATTGATGTCTACCGCACTATCCGTACAGTCAATGGTTTAGTCTGTTAACAGCTGAATGACAACAGTTTAGGATGCAAATGACCATAAAAAACGAGTGAACTTCAAACTTTAAGATATAATACTTCTACTACTATAGCTGATACTACTCATTTCATTTATTTAGGGTTCAACAACTCTATTCCTCATCACCATAGCCTGATTCAAATACATCCCTATTATCTTGCTGCTTTTCGTCACTTCCAGTTGAGACCCTAAACATACTGCATGTGCTTGTAGATTCTAAATAAATTAAAGGGATCGTATAACAATGTTAAATCTGAGATACACGGCCCTACGTGTTATCAGTGTCTGTAATATGGTGTAATATTGAAGCCCTAAAAAAATTGCGCTTCAAAATGATCAATAAGTGCCTCAAAAAAGAAAAAACTTGAGTGACCGGTTTTACTATACTCGTTTTCCCTAATAGACTGTAGTGTTATGAAAACCGTTTGGTAAACGTTTTTCAAAATTTGAAATTGCAATCATAAATATCTTGATAATCAGACAGGCGATCGGCTTGTAAAAGTTATGGGGTTCCTGACAAACATAAAGGTATATAATTATCATTGCAGCATGAGCTAAATCCAGAATTTTGTTTCAGAATCTGAGACAAAGTTACCGGATCCCTTTAATACAAAATATATCAGGTATCCAATCATATTTCTAAAATCTGATCGTCCCTTTAATAGGTGGCTGCTATCTCAGGGGACGCAAGACGAGCCCTGGACATCTGTCGTCGTGCTACCGAGATCGCCGAGGTTCATGCCCGTAAGAGCAAGAAGAAGGCAGTAGTCGGCATGGCTCAGGTTGATGCAGCCGTTACCGAGATGTTCTGTTCACCCAAGATTGTGGCTATGAGGTAGGTTGATTTTGATTTGATTTGATTTGATTCGGTTTATTGCAATAAAAGAATATGCAGCTGGGAAGCTGAAATTGTCCAATTTACTCAGTCAATATACAACACAATAAACGATCAAAATATAAATGACTAAAACGTACGACTATAAATCATAATAAACAAAACAAAATAAAAATCAAATATTACATCAAAATCTAAATATATTACAAATATTAAAAACATTAAAAACCTTCTGTGTCATCAAAAAAGGAGAAAGAGATAGAGAAAGATGGAACTAGAAAGAGGAATAGAAGGAAGAAGAAAAAAGAAAGAAAAGTTGATCAGAGAATATATGAAAGATTGGAGGAGAGGGGTAGAGAAGGACAGAGTAGAACAAGAAAAATGGAAAGAGAGGAGAATCGTACAGTCTTGAGGTATGTTCTCATCAAAACCGGAAAAAAAGAAAAGCGAGCCTCTGACCGTCTCCTTGAACTGGGTGTTAGGAGTATGTACATCTTCTCTTCCTAGGATTTTGCTAGTCATTGTTATAAAACAGATGTGTCTATTTTATGTTTCCGATATAAATCTGTTATTACTCATCGCTTTACCTCTCACAGTACAAATAACGCCTCTTCTACAGGTCTTATGTGCAATGTTTATTACATAATGAATCTCCATAGCATTATCGTTATAAAAGCAAATGAAAGCCATCTTTAAGAGCTTAGAGCCTGCACATTGTCCATAAGCAGATTAAATGCTCTTGTGCAAAAGAAAATTGATTTAACTGGGTCAAATATTTGATTATAAAAATATTCAATGTATAAAGCTCTTAAACAAAATTCAATCAGCCATGTTATTTTGATTACAATGACCTTGACCTAAGCCTTCTGTTCCACACCATCTGGGAGATGTGTGATGGCTTCTGCTTCATGACCTCAAGCCAGATCTTCCTATCTTGTGACGTTCTGGTCGCTTCTGTGAGGGATCCCAGACATCTAGTAGCACAATCGGCCTTTACACAATCTAACCATTTCTTGGCTGGTCTGCCCTGGGGTCTATCACCATGAATTGAGCTTTCATTGTATTTTCTTTTTATTTCTAGGCAAGCTTCAGAGCAGGAGCAAATCTTTTTGAGAGCTGTCATCTCAGAGTTCAGACAGTCTGGTTTAGAGGAAGCTACATTCGCTGAGGTAAGAGCATCCAATATCTCTCTTTCTCCCTTCTCTTCTCCCTTTCTCTTTCTCCACTCCCTCTCCCTTCCTTCCCTATTTTCTTGCTCCATATTTTTTCCTTTATTTCTTTTTTCCCTTTCTGATTTTTTCTGAGTTTTTTCGTTGAATTATTGTTAATTAATGAATTGTAAATATGATGTTTTTTTAAATATTTTGAAACCAAATATCTGTAAATCATGCATGTTGACTCATATCTCATTGTGTGCTTTATCAGGGTCGTTCATGGTGAATAATAATGACTTGAATACACAGGGCCTGATAATTACCCAATTTAAATCGGTTTCCAGATTTTTGTTTTCCCCTATTTTTTTTTCTTCCCGATTCTACCCCTATTTTCCCCTTAAATTTCTCCCAGGAAGCATTACATTTATAAAAAATTTATTTTCTTTATCTTTCATTTTTAGGTTCTACAACAACACATATCACTGTGCAGGATAGAAGGTGAGTGAATATAATTATTTGAGAATTAAACAAGTTTTTTTTTCTCACTGAGAGTGCTTATTTTATGAGTTGTAGGTCCATGTATTTGTATCAAAATTAATCTTGAGCTCTGGTATGGGAATCGTCTGTCGAGAGAACATGGCTTATAATTCTTTCTGGATTGCTTTTCCTGCAGTAGATTGGCTCAGTCGGTAAAGCGTCTGCCTGTCGAACCAAAGATCCCGGGTTCGACTCCCACCCAGGCGGATGACTGAAGCCTGCGTTGTGTGTTAACGTGCCCCTTCTCTTGTTCATAGACGCAGGTTATGTCAGGTGGAAAAGACTCCGTCCCTCAGATAGGACGTTAAATGGAGGCCCCTTGTACAGGAGAGTCACCACCCTTGGCTTGCACGTTAAGAACCTATTGCACTATTTGTATAAGAGTAGGGGAAACCCCGGTGTAATGGTCCACCTGCTCACCCCAATCTCAGACATATAAGTCTTTACAGAGCTCTGTACAAGATACAGAGAGTTGTACATTTTTTAAAGAAAAATGATCATATGATACTTCCTTCATTCTGTTTTCCTTGTATTTGTATTCTTTACTTCAGGCCAGTTGCCCCCTACGGTATCAGATGTGTGGGGTGTGTGCAAGAGACTGGCATCAACCCGACTGCTACTCCTAGAGGCGAGCACCAATGAACTGGGACAGAGAGTGCGTCTCAACGTCAGTCAGGACGACGTACGCTATGCCTTGGACTCCCGTACCAAATGAGGATTCAGCATCTGGGACCCGTTTCACAAAGCCTTCTCTCAATGACAAATGGCAAAAATCAGTGACAAACCTGCTGATAACCAATCAGAAGCAAGGATTTCGGTAGCTTATAACACAAACTGTCATTTGTCACTTATCTCCAGTTTTGTGAAACACCCCCCTTGTGTTAATGTGAGGTTAAGATTCTGTACTTTCAAAGCCGGCCGTTGTGGGACGTGAAACGAAACTGTCCAGATTTGAAGCTCTTGTTGAGACATGTGACATTTCACAGATATTTGAACTAGAAGCGAGAAGATGTACAATATGCCATTGACCTCCGTTATCGGTAATGACGCTTCATTATGTGTAAACGTGAGGGATACTGCAGGTTATCTTGAACGGCATTGTTGGACATGGAATTGGACCGTCTGGATATGGAGTCCCTTGTGGATAACGGTCATCAACACCAGTAATAGGGACTTTTAGATTTGCACGACAGGAACGTGGACTACCCTTTTAAGGCAGTGTGACGTCACTGCCAGTGCCTTAAAAGGACGTCACATTGCCTTAAAAGGATGTCACATGTCGCAGTCCACGTTCTCGTCATGCAAATCTAAATGTCCCTAATGATTAAAATCTGTGTCTTTGTTTTTGTGTATTCTCTAGCTATTTAAAAATACAAGACTTTCCAGGCCGCACCCAGTGATTACACTTTGGGAACGGTACAAACGTGTCGAGATGCTCCAGAACTTTCTCAGACAGTCATTGTTAGACATGAAGTAATGCTGTCTGGATTTGAAGTCTACTGGTACTACTATTAACTATCATCAACATCAAAAATGATCCAGACTACGACTTGGTTTTCTTTGAATTCTTTGTATTCTCTAGCTATTCTTAAAACAAAACCTCTCGAATGTCAAGCCCACAATGGCTTCAAATATTTTCAGCTGGGCTGAATTTTAGTGTCCTACATGTATTTCCAAAATATATTTGAATATCCTAAAATCAGTTTTGACTTAACTTTGTCCAGTTTTGATAATGCAAGTCAAAGGCACCTGTGGAAATAAATTAAATTGCTTGTAGACTGCAGATATTATTTTCAACTAGAATGGTATGGATGTATTGTATACTGGTACTAAATGACCATAATGTGTATACATGTAGCTTCACGTGAAATAAAGTCATAGCGGTGCTTCGCATACCTAATAGTTGCAACACTAAAGACGGGCTTTCATCACGATTGTTGGATTACTCTTTGTGTTCCATTACATTCCATTACATTACATTACATTACATTAAAATCCCATCTACACATCAGCACTATGTAGTAGTAAAAGTAAAGAGTCAGTATCTTTTGAGCAGTACATTCATTGGTTTCCTGGTTTTATTCTTAGATAGAAACAGGACCAGGGTCCAGTTTCATGAAACTTGTAATTAAGGAATACCAGACACAAATGCAAATAATTTCATTAGTTTTGAAAGGGGATGTAAACTGACGAATACAGGGGAACACCATCTTCATCTCCTTTTGGACAGCTGCACCTAAACAAATGAACTTGATTAACGGTAGTCAGCAACTTAATCTCTACATGGTCAGCATTCGCGAAACAGATCGAAGTTCTCCTCACGCTTCATTTTCGCGGATGTTGCATGCACGTAATTGCAGCTGCGGTCCCGTCCGTAGTCGTATTATACCTGATTGGCCCCCCGAGTCAGACCACGCCCCAGTCAGTTTACACCCCCTTTAGCAGTTATTGTAACTTGTTATTAATGACAAGATTTATGAAACATGGCCCTATTATTATGTTTTCAAAATGCCAACTGCAAAATAGTATTAAAATTACAATTTTTTGCAGGTAGTACATGGCTGCAGCATTAGAATCTTTATGTGAAAGTAAATATTTTTAAAGGTGCTATTAACTGGGTGTGTGTGGGGGGGGGGAGGTGGGATAGGGAAAGCTATGACCTCATATATATGTGAATTTTTTACCCTGAAATATTATCTTCAATGAAGTTTTAAGTACTTTAAAAAATTAACAATTTGGTAAAAAATGAAAAATTGAATATGATGTTGTTGATAATTTAGCTTACAAAAACAGCAGAAAAGCCATTATGTGTCATTTTTAATAATGAAAATATGATTGAGATGTCAATTATTGAAATTTTAAAGGAAATTGTACTTTTTAAAATGATAAAATGCCATAGTTCAAGCAAAGTACAGGTTGATTCGCAAAATCTCAGAATTTATCATTGCCAACAACAGGTCGAGGAGATGAGGAGTTTTCAAATACACATTCACTCGTAGCCATTGCTGAATTTTAGAGATGAAAATATATGTGCAACTTTATATCTCTCGTAGTAATTGAAGAAATTAAAACTTCTGAAAACTTGATTAAACAAGTTCATAGATAACAATTGCACTTTCGAAAATCAACATTTCATGTTGAATTTTAAAAGTGAGAATATTTGCTTCGCTCGACACTAGACGAGGCGAAGTGAAGTATTTGGAGTAAAAGCATTCTTGTATTACGATGTGTGTATTTACAGACGGTCCTCAAATTTCATGGCTATACTTTAATATTTTGAAACAATTTTTTATAACTTCAGATATTTAAATGTTAGGAACAATGTGCCTTGAGAATTTGGTTGTAAATAAATTGTACCTCTTCTGAACGGAAGAAATACCAATGTTTTGAAAATGTTTTTGTTCAGTTGATTTATATCTACCTCGTCCTATTCAACATTCTTCAGGAAAGAAAAACAAGCAGAAATCAGGGCCCCGTTCCACAAAACTTGTCATCAATGACAAATGACAGTTCTTGTTATAAGCTATTAAAATCCTTGCTTCTGATTGGTTATCTGCAGATTTGTCACTTGCCATTGGAAAAAGGCTTTGTGAAACACCCAATTGGACTTGTACAAGGTCAGAATATGTAGTTGTGATATATGATTTCCAAACGGGAATAGCTAATTGGTCGATTTTAGTCAAGAAACATTGTTTTATAGCTTAATTAATATCTTGACCTTGAGAAGGAGCTATCAGTACAACATAAAGAGTGTATTTACAATTTCATAACTATTTAGACTCGATTTTAACCGTGACAAAGATCAGTGAATATTGTAGGATCACATATGCTTCCAATATGTTCATTTGAACCACATTAATGACCTCATACAAAACTTTGTATTACCTTTTAAAGGTCAGTTCCCAGACGTAAATAATCATATCCGATTGTTATGCCATTTGCTTATAAAGATGTGCGAAATTCACAAAATGACGCCTAGATGACATCACATTATGCAAATGACCTTGAAAAGATTTCACGTGGCCTGTCCTCATTGGAAAATTCTGACGAATAAAAGAGATGATAATAGTATACCACCTCTAACTCTTAAAAAGTAATTATTCTAATTTATGTACACAAAAAAAGGATTCTTTGAGAGCAATGTTTTCAAATCATTATTTAATCACGGTGATATAGTCTCAGTCTTGAGAAATAGGCACTTTCTCCAAAAATTATACTCTGAATAAATCATTTAACTTTATATCCTACTAGTTCTAAGAAGAAAGAAAAACAAAATGGACTTTGATGTGGAAAGGATTGGTACAGTGGAACTGCCCAGTTTAGTAGCCATAATCATTCAAACAGTGAAAGTCAAACTTGAAACATGACTTGATTAATCAACATTTATAAACCTGATTTTAGTGTTTACATTATATATATTCCATAATCTATACAAACACAAAATACCACATATTGATTGTATAATCTTAACTCCATGGTCGTGATATTAATGAGGCTCATCAAAGAGATTAGAGATGAGCGGCATAGGCTACAAGCACATGCAATAATACAGATTATTACCCGTATCAGACATCTGAGCAGTGGTTTTATAAAATCATATTACACTTGTTGTAATCCTTAAAAGAGCTGATCAGTAAATACGAGACCATGTTACCCTCGTATGAAAAAGCCTATGGACTTTAGTGTACGGTGTTAAAAAAAGGCGGAAATAAAGTCTCATATTCACTGCCCCATATTTTGTCATGCATTGTGCATCTATTATGCGTACGAGAACCTGCGCACTTTGCACGCACTCTATTGTGACGTAATAATCACACCAAATTAGGCACACTGTTTGCAGTGTAGCAATTTTTTTTTTCAAGCACTGGATGCACAGTACAGTGCTGGTTTGACAAAGTTTCTTCAGTTCTTTGAGATTGTCATGGTTGATTTATGTATTTGCTCTAGATGTCTGATTTGGATAACAATATTGATTGGCTTAACTTTTGGGAGATACATGTACCACATATATTGCCCTCGTCTTTGACTCAGGGCAATACGAGTCTAGTTCGGGAAATATATGTTGTATCTCCTTCAAGGCCAGTCAATATTACCGTATATAAATATATCCTGCATCAAAAATTCATTGGTATTTGACTGGTTGAGAGCTCTTCAGATGACAAGAAATATTTCAACCATTTTAAGGTGATCTTTTGATCCCATGTTGACCATACATTGCGAGACAAACGAATATCACTAGCGATATTATTTTCGATACATTTTAAGATTGCTCAGAAAAAGTACTTCATGTATTTCGTAGTTTAAAATTCAGCGAGCGTACAGGATTTCAAATGCCTCCGGGGGGCAACTCCTGCAGTGTCAACGCGCTAACGTTGTGCAATTTATGCTGAGCCGCAGTCTAATTAACTGCACTGCACTACTGCAATATTTGATTAAACTTTTGATGTAGGATATAAAACAAATATACCCTGCCTTCTTTTCGAGGTACTGGTTAAAACTATGTGCCATGGTGACTCCTCTTGCCCTTAGTTTTAACCAGAACCACCCAGGTCAGTTTATATTTGTATAATAGACATGTATCTGTCTTTGTTTAGGCAGCGTTAGCTAAATAAAAATGTATCTGAGTAACTAATGGTCATGTACAATATGTGCATTTGAAGATGGAACATTTGAACTGGAATAACAGCTATAAGCTACAATCTTTTATTTTTAATAAAGGCTATCAGAAGGTTTTATAACAAATGGAAGGTAGCTGTAACAGTATACTATTTGATGGTGAATTAAACTGTCTATCTACTGGACGGAAAAACAATTTAGGATTAGTCTAACTGCTTTCTATCAAACTGTAAAATTATACATAAATGAATACTGCAAGTCGGCAACATTTTCATACAGGGTAAACCATGAACATAATTCCAGTAATATAATTAATAAATTTGCAACAATTGACGTATAATATACATTACTCTGACATAAAAGATAACAAAACCTTAGCATCAAATACATTTCAAAATGAATTTAAAAAAAAAAATTAGATTTTTAAAACTAATAGTTTTATCGCTGATTCATATTAAAATTTGACAGAATAGCGTTAAAAATGTCAAGCACATTTCAATTTCTCAAGGTAAATTTCAAGGTGATTTTCAGAGATAATTAACTGGCAAAATTTCTTTTCTGAATACATGGCAAGATATCCTTCGTAAAGAAAAAAAAGTGGCACATTTAAAAAAAGAACAATCCATTTAGCAAATTAGTCAGACAAATTTTAATAATCATATAATATGAATACCTGTATCAATAAACACACATCACATTGGTTTGAGTTGCAAGATACTAAAGTTTTTTTTATAAATGTAATGCTTCCTGGGAGAAATTTCAATTTTTGAAACATATTTATGGCTAACACCCAGTAAATAAGATTGATTGATCGATCTGTAATTGAAAAACAAGTCAGAAAAAAATCTTAGAACCAGCGGGGCTAGAATCTGCATCTACTGCTTGCCGGGCAGCGACTCTACCACCAGGCCATTACTGGTCCATAGCACAGTCACGATGAACTAGAAACAAATACGGTACCCAAGCTTTTTCAATACAGATTGATCAATCGATCTTATTTACTAGGCGTAAGCCACAAATATGTTTAAATAAGATACTAAAGGTTATACACTTCCTCTATTTTGTAATTAGAGGGAACATGAGGTTTATCGGGGGAAGGAAAGAGTTTAGTTTACCACATTATTAAATTTAAAAAAAATAAAAAAAAATATTGAATATTCTACGATTGTCAACGAGAAGTTGTGCTTTGTCTCTTTGGCTCTTTGCTTTCACAGTTCACAATGTTCAGTGTAAATGTGTATTCCCAAGAAGGAGTCAGAGAATTCCTCCAACCCAAAAATGCTAAAAATTGACTGAAAAAGAAATCTGTTCCTTATACAAGATGTCCAATAACCACAAACAATCTTATACTGACCCATATGAACACAGGCTACAGCTTAAAGGTAATACAAAGTTTTGGGAAATTTTGAAAATTGGGTGGATAGTGATTCTTTACAATTTTGATATATTTGGATGCCCCTGTGGATGTATTATAAGCACTAGAAAATTTAGCCCCTAAAACACTTCTGCTTTCGAGAAAAATTGAATATAAAAATTTACCGGTGCTCCCGGTAAATTTTGATAAATTTCAAATAGCGCCTATGGCCGTACTATGGTAGTTGCGACCATGAAAATCTCAGAATATGCAGTTGTGATATATAATTTCCAAATGGGAATAGCCAATCGGTCGATTTAAGTCAAGAAACATTGTTTTTTTAGCTAAATTAATATATTGACCTCGAGAGGGAGCTATACAACATAAAGAGTTTATTATTTACAATTTCATAACTTTAGACTTGATTTCAACCGGAACAACGATCACTGAATATTGTAGGATCGCATATGCTTCAAATATTTTCATTTAAACCAAATTCATGACCCCATACCAAAACTTTGTATTACCTTTAATTGAAACAATCATGGACTGTATTTACATGTACAATAAAAATGTACAATAAAAATGTGCAAATCAAACTGAAACACTTTTCAAACAAACCCAATTAAACTTACTGTAGTGTAACTTCATCATGTTGTACACATGTATTGTATTGTATTTATTAAACTTCATTGATGTACATCAATATTCTGTTTATATACATATAAATCAATTTACAATGTAATGTAACAAATCAATATTCTGTTTGGAAACATATATATCATATAAATCAATTTACAATGTTATGTAACAAATCATCATTCTGTTTGTAAACATATATACTGTATAAATCAATTTACAATTTTATGTAACAAATCAACATTCTGTTTGTAAACATATATACTGTATAAATCAATTTACAATGCAGTGTTTATAGCAAAACAGAAGGAAAATTATATCCACATGAAACATGAAACTCTGTCCCTTTCACACCCAATACACTTCACTTAGTGCCAATTCAAAAACAGGACCGAAGACACAGAACATTAATAATGATACATAAAACATCAGCAGATTACAGCTCATATGACTGAATCTTTAATACAGAGGTTGCACTCAAGCTCTCAAAAGATATATATACACCATAATGCACAACATGAATACAATTGCAGCTGCTTCAATATATTTTGTCTTAAAGACAGAAAGAAAAAGACAAATTTCTTGAGTCTTTTACAACAATTTTGTTATAGAAGTGAAGACATTCTACACTAAACCTTATTTTCATTAAAGTACAAGTCCACTCCAAATATAAATTACTTTCAAAAGAAGCAGAAAATCAGACAAACCAATAAAAAAAGTTTGAGCAAAATCAGATACCTAATAAGAAAGTTATGATATTTTGAAAATGTATGTACAACTATGGAACAATGAAAATCACTACACAAATTGCCAATTTGATTATCAGTTTGTGACGCCATGTCGTCAATATTTATTGATTGCTTTATATAGTTTAATCCCATTAATTTCCCTTTTTATCCCCCAAAACTTGATTCCCCCATACCTTTGCTCAATTTATATGATTTGTATGATATTGCGTGCATGACATTTCACAAAATCTTTTGTGAACTTTGAAGAATTGATACCATTTTCTTAATATTGTAAATTCATAATTATTGACTTTTATATAATAATAATAACAATATTTATAAAGCGCAACATATCCATCTCTAGAGATGCTCAAGGCGCATACAAATAATTTAAATTAATATTCAACATACTATTCATAAATAGTTTATCAAAATTCACATTTTTCATGATTTAACTCAACAAAAATTATTTCATATTAGTGCATCTACACAATGACATATTACTATCATTCTAACTTGGATGCTGGTCTGAAGAAATAAGATTCCTAGGGGGAAAATAGCAAAATTTATGTTACCAATATAAAGAAAATAATTAGTGGATAGTGAGGACATGACGTCACAGACTGACGAGTGAGTTCCCAATTTGTCTTGTGCTTTTCATTGTTCCATAGTTTTACATACTTTTTCTAAAAATCATAACTTTCTTATTGGATATCCGATTTCGCTCAATTTTTTTTTGATTGGTTTGTCTGATTTTTCTGCTTCTATTGAAAGTAAGTTTTTTTATGGAGTGCACTTGTCCTTTAAAGATATAAAGGGATAGTGGTGAAATTCCATTGACCACTGCTGACGGATGTTCCACTGGAGGTTGTTACAGGTTCAAAGGAGAGTATTGCCGATGCAATTGATATTTATATAATGCCTTTACATAAATATGCTCAAAGCGCTTTACATTAGTAAATAAAACAGAATAATCATTTATGACGTGTTGGTGGCAGTATCCTTGGACAAGATTTTCAATATGCTGAGGCAGACATGTGTCATTACTATGTAGGAACATTCCATTGACCATTGGAGGTAAGTCATAGGGTCCAAAGGACAGTATCTCCTCTTGAAACTTGCTGGAAGCATCTTTGCACAATTATCATAAATTGGCTGTGATGATCGAGGGCCACATCGCGGCAGTACATGGCAGACATTGTTCAGGCTTTATGGGGATAGCATGACATTCCTCTGATCATTGGACGGTAAACTATAGAACAATAATGTCCTGAGACACTATCAGGGAAAAAAAAACATGGGGGCTCGGGGCAAATTAGCCCCCAAAATGCCCAAAAGAGCCCCGAAAGTCATAAAAGAGCCCAAAAAAAATTTGCATAGAGTTCAATGCAAAACAAATTAAAGAGTGTTATTTTCATGCAAGCAAGCTTGAAAAGTAGCCCCCGAAATTTTGTAAGTTTTTTTCCCCCTGGACACTCTTCTCTGCAGTACACCTGAATCTCTATCTCCACCTCATAGACCATCAATGGGGAAAGGGAAGGGGGAGATATCCGATGCAACCGTTGCACATCTTGTCCTTTTCTCTACATCTGCTGCAGTTCAAGTGCACAAAAGAAGTTTTCTGTGCTGCAAACTACATGTAATATAGACAGAAATAACGTCTCATATGGGTCATTTCTTTAATAAAACTGACATTTGTTGACATTCCCCATACACAGAGGCGGTCAGAGGAGCCAGATGCAATCTCAGCGGAACAACCGTCGATATCAGAGACTGAAGCTTTCGGTCTACATGTAATATGGCTTTGATTGAGTCTGAGGCGATACAGTGTACCTGACACTGCTTATCCTCACTTGCCCAAAGTCACAAGAACTTTCGTGAGAGTCAAAAATAAGAGTCCGTGCTATAGCTAGCAGCCTTACAAAGTACTGCTGGTGGTGGACTGTTCTGGAGGAAACAAAATACACAGCCAGAATGTGTCACGAAAGCACGAGAGCATTTGCAAATGCTATCCATCATTTCCTCCTGTCGACAGTGCAGGAATCTGGTCGGGTTCAGGACTGACCCTGTTCGATCTGCTCCCTTTCTTCTTCTTCTTCTTTTTCTTGGATGTAGCGCCGTCCGGTTTGCCCCCTGTGGTCGGTGAGGGCAATGCCTCCTCTTCCTTGGACAGCTCCCCTGTGATGGGAGGAGGGGGGGGGGGGGGGAGATTGACAAGAGAGGAAAGAAAATGGGGGAAAGAAAATGGAGCAAAAGAAGAGGGAATGTGATGAGAAAAAAACGCATGGGGAGGGATTTACTACACATATTGTTGGTGATGTCATTTTCTACAATAATCCTGATATTCTCACGAGATCTTCTAAGAAAACATAAAATAATACATTTCTTCTGCTATCTAATAGTAATCATTTGAAATAGTGTTTAACTCTTATCATGCCACAGGGCTAATCCCCATTGTGCCAAGCCCCAAATCACGGAGTGCCAAGTTTATATTGAGATAATCTGATTAACGCGATACAGTGTAGTTCTATGAATAGCGACTGCAAAACACATAGCACAGTCCAATGAGCATGAACATTAACTGCTACTACGAAAGTGTGCACGCACGCACATGGCAGCGTAGCAATAGCTTGCTCGCATGTACAAAGCACTATAACAATAGTGTGCATGCACCCTCATGGCAGGCTATGAGTTTAAAGACAAAAACATCCATGAGTAATTTGATGGGAAAAATGGTTAGAGATACATTCAATGGCTGGAATTTCCTACATCAGTTCAACACTGGGATTAAATTTATGGTGAACAAAGGGGAACTTGGTCTAATTTCCTTTGTATATACAGCATTATATTCAAATTTTAGTAGAATACTGGCTATTCAGACAAGATAAAACACATCAGAAACAAGTTAAAGAATTGAAATAGAGACATAACCTTGTGCACAAACTTGTTAATAAAATACAGCAGTAGCAAAAACAAATCAAAACAATGAAAAGACTGAAAGTTAAATCATTACTGATAGAAAATGTGTATAATTAGTTCTAATAAATGAAGTGTAAAGAAAGAAAATTAAATAAGCCAAAAGATTGGGCTTTTACCAGGGGTTTTGTCAGTATTTGGATTAGGTGAAGTTGACAGGACGCCATCTTGCTCCGGCCAGGCAGGTGGTGCCTCTATGGGGGCGAGTATGACCGTTCCTTTTTTCGCAATTTTCAGAAGTTCCACCTGTTTCTCTTCATTATCACGCAAAGCAGCTTCACTATTAATACAAAAAAAGGGAGCAAACAGAAATTGATAATCTCTCTTCCTGGTGCAGAACTTGCCTGTGATAGTGATGTGGCATTATATCTGAATTATTATAATTATATTTGCTATTTCAAACATTATGCTTCTAAAGGAATTAATTTTGAAATGTTTAAAGATTTAATGAGTGATATCTTCTGGAGACACGTTCTATTAAATTTCTGTTTTATTACAGATTGTCAGTTATCCATGATACATCTCCCAAAATACTCCCCATTTATCTTAAGAAGTGTATATATATAAAAACAAAACATAACAAAACAAATTCGACTGCATCTCCAATACTCCTCCGTCCTAAATTCAGTATAGGAATGGATGGAATTATTTGTTACATATCACGATGAAAACAAAAAGCCCATCTCTTGTGGTTCTCGAGATATCGCAAAAGCAAGGCCAATACCTGTAATTTCAGAAACTGACCTTTGAACTTTGAACTCCAATTCTGAACAACTCATCTTCCTATGGTGATACTGTCCTTGTTTTCACGAAGTGACGGTAGTGAGGAAAATTGTAACGCAAAGTGAATGCATTTTTTTTCACTACCGTCACTTCGTGAAAACAGCGACGATACCTACTATCACCAAATTTAAGCCTTGTATCTCTAGTGGATCTTGAGATATCCTGATAACAAGGCTATATCTAGAATTTCATAAATTGACCTGTGACCTTTGATCTATTAACCCCAAATCAAATCAGATTGTCTTCCTGTGATGATACATACCATCACAAAGTTTAAGTAGCATATCTCTTGTGGTTTTCGAGATATCGAGATAACAAGGCCAATACCTATAATTTCAGAAATTGACCTTTGAACTTTGAACTTCAATTCTGAACAGATCATCTTCCTATAGTGATACCTACTATCACCAAGTTTAAGCCTTGTATCTCTAGTGGATCTTGAGATAACCGGATAACAAGGCCAATACCTGGAATTTCATAAGTTGACCTCTGCCAATAAAAGGCATAACAAAAATTTAAAAAAATTGACATAAGGTTAGTAAAAGACTAACAGTAGCATGTCAGGATAGAAAAGATTTGTATGAAACATATGAAAAGGAAGAAGAATATAATGAAAGTAAAATGAAAGTGACTGCAAATACAATAAAGATAACATAGATTCATAAAAACATTTCACTGATAACATTATTTATTTCCTAGATGTGAAATAATCAGAAATATTAACTTCAAAACAAAAACTACGTGCTCAATGTACGGTAAAGATTATGAATGAAGTTCGAAAGGTGAAAACATGTAACAACAGATTGAGAAAGATCGATAAACATTGAACTGATCAAAACTTTGTAATTAGAAAAATAACAAGAAGACTAGGATGAAGTGCATTTACCAGTCTGTTTGGCATTTCAAAGGTGCTGTACCATACATGTTCATGGACATATGGTCGCCTGGCTGGCAGAAGGGCGTTAGCTCAAATTTCAGGTCAATAATGAAACTTTAAGCAGAAGGGCATTAGCACCAACTCGCATTAAACTTTTATAAAACAGACTTATTTTCCGAGGAAAAATTGTGACCGTGTTCTACTACAACATTTCTATTAGTCTTTAATGTTTTAAACCAATTTTCGGGATGGAAAGCAGTTTAAGTATAAAACAAATCTTTAAATGTGAATAATTCGAAAAGTAGTTTTTCGAGTCGCTCGCGCGCTAACGCCCTTCTGCCACCCGGCCGACGAATCATCTCTTAGGAGCCAGAAAGGTGTTTGATATTAGAAGATAAATCTATCTCTTCTCAATGGCTACCTAGTTCTACAGGATGACATTAACCAGTCTGCTCTTGTCAGTAGCGTACGCAGGATTCAAGGGGGGGGGGGGGTTAACATTTTTAAATCGGGCCGAAAATTTCGCATAGCATTTGGCAATAGCAAGAATTGCCACACCCAACAATGGTGAAATAAATGGATCCTATACAGGAAGAATTTCTTGAAACATTAAGAGTTTCATGTCACGTATAATGTAGACATTAATCTATATTTGCCAAACACATAGTTACATAAAGTTGCATGTGATAGTTACCTTCCTTCACCTACTGGCGCGAAACAACATTTGCGTTTCTTCCACAGCCACCAGATCAAAATAGCAAGGAGGACAAGGAGGACGATAGCTCCACATACACAACCGGCAATCAGACCTGTTTCAATCATGGAGATAAAAAGAAGAGTTAATAACAGTCAAGGTTGGGCTACAATATTACATCAGTTTAGATTGTGTCTTTACAACAATTAACTGATTGTACGCCACTTGCTTCTGTGACAATTGCTCTGCAGTAAATTCATTCACTAACCCCGATTCCTAGATTCACCCCCTGACCCTTAACCTTAATCATATCCCTACACCTAACCTCAAACCCATATCACTACACCTAACCTAAATCATAGCCCTACACCTAACCTAAAACCTTAATCATATCCCTACACCTATAACCTAAAACCTTAATCATATCCCTACACCTAACCTCAAACCTAAATCATATCCCTACACCTATAACCTGAAACCTAAATCATATCCCTACACCTAACCTCAACCTTAATCATATCCCTACACCTAACCTAAAACCTTAATCATATCCCTACACCGAACCTAAAACCTCAATCATATCCCCACACCCAGGGCGCGACAAACCCGCTTGCCCGACGTCCCGGGGCAACCAAATTGAGCCGTCGGGCAAGTAAATCAAATTATCACTTGCCCGATTCGGGCAAGTGATACTTTTACAGTAATTTCCTAGTGTCCAAGAACTCTACCATTCACCCGTCAACTTCTTACCCGTCGTCAAAATCCAGAAGCAAAAAAGCGATCGTTCCGATTTCGAAAAAACTTCACAGACAGCTAGCCAGCTCAGCTAGCTCAGCGCGCATGCAACAGTCACTTCAAGCCATGAATGCCGCTCCGCCTCCACGCACGGCCGGCCGTGAGCTAGCTAGAGACAGCTAGCGCGATCGTACCAGCTGCGAGCTTATTCGCGCTCTCTCTCTCTAGCTCTGCAGGCCGCACCGACAGGCCTTTGCTATTCTCTGATTGCCGATTGGTTGAATCACGCCAAATATGACGTCATTATTCTAGGGAAATGAACACGTGCGAATCGGAATGGAACAAACAACAGGGATTTTCTAGTAAGTACAAAAAGTCAAATGTTTGATATTTATTCATAATGACTGTTAATGATTGTGAACATATTATTTAAAACTCGCTGCTCATATAAATCAGATGAATGTTTTTGTCTCGTTTTCAATTTATTACTGCGGTCTCAAGATCCGACCGAGCGAGTCATTTTGATAATAGTATCGAGACCCCCAGAATATAAGCCGTTGTTGTTTTGTTTTCATGGTTTTAGCGACGTTGTTTAGTCTAGTTTTCGCATACTTATCCGAGATTTATCGTAAAATATCTTCAATATTATTATTTAGTAAGAATTTACAAATTTTGGCATGATATTTATAGCAGTGAATGATGAAATAAAAATGTCCGTACTTTATTTAAAATAGTTGATTACCCATTAATATTTACATGACGTTTCTTGATGGAAGAGTTGACCCAAATTATTAACAGCTGAAAATTAGCCTACGTTTCCAAATGACAGCGGCTTGCACAGACACACATGTGATGTTGCACCATGGTACATGTGGCTACCATTAATGACATGTTTGTATCATATTTTTTACAACAGGGTCATTATGCTTTTTTACATGACTGAATATTAAAAACTTAAACCTGCTTGAACCATTCTACCTTGCCGAGATTCATGTGAATCTGATTATTTATGGAGAATCAATAAAATGCGTTTTTTAAACCTTCAACCATCCTTTGTTGACCATTTTCTTTGACATATTAGGTTATTATTCAGTACAGTTAACATAAAACATGTCTTATTATTCCTCTGAATCTGATATCATGATTAACCTTGCAAACTTGCAAAGTTACTCTGTGAAGACAGCTTGATCTGTGACGTGTTTATATATGCCTTTGCAATGCAATGTTTGCACATGGTCAGGGAGAGAGCTCCCTGCATGTATCATTGCCATATGAAATTATGTGGAAATGTGTATCACACACACCCAAGACACACCCTGCAATGAGCTGATCCAAGTTAGTGACCAATCAGGAAGGTTCTCTAGCTATGTGGGTGGAGTTTGATACCAGCATAAATTACAGGTTGGTGACCGCGCGTGCTTTCACTGTACCCAGTTCAGTGGGAGGTCAAGAAGCCACGCCCACATGTGTGCATGTGATAAGCATGCGCTCTCTATCTGTGTGTATGTACAGTGTATTTGGGCGCCGGAGGTTTGTGTGTACATGTGTGTGTGACTGAGAGAGCATGCATGGACCAGGCATGCAGGGACATGAGAGAGTGCAGTAATAAGAAAAGGTACATGAGCGATAAACACATTGCAGAGAGAAGGGAATAAAGAGGGTGAGAAAAGAGATATGGGGGCTGGTTGTTTTATTGTTTACAAATTCATTCATGGAGATTACTGCTGCCAGAAAGCTGGCGCGCAGCGGCCAGGGTGTAACATTACACTGCGGTTTCTTTGATTATCTTTATCACCGGCTATTAGCACATTCCAAAATGTATAAAAATAACGGTTAAACGGAGCAAGAAATGCCAAACGGTTTTGATGAATGCGGTCGGATAACCATCGGTTAAACGGATTGACTCAGGCCTAGTACATGTATGTGCATTAATTTGCTATCTAAAACACTAACTTATCATTACGAGATAATAAATGCTTTAACCTCGAGTCCTTTTTCGCTTTAAAGTTTTGGGCAAGTGGAAATATTGTTTGGGCAAGTAAATTGAAAACCCACTTGCCCGACAGGGCAAGTGGTGAAAAAAATTCTTGTAGCACCCTGACACCTAACCTCAATCATATCTCTACACCTAACCTTAAACCTTAATCATATCCCTACACCTAACCTTAATCATATCACTACACCTAACCTCAAACCTCAATCATATTCCTACACCTAACCTTAAACTTTAATCATATCCCTACACCTAACCTTAAACCTTAATCATATCCCTACACCTAAACTTAAACCTTAATCATATCCCTACACCTATAACCTGAAACCTAAATCATATCCCTACACCTAACCTCAACCTTAATCATATCCCTACACCTAAACTTAAACCTTAATCATATCCCTACACCTATAACCTGAAACCTAAATCATATCCCTACACCTAACCTCAAACCTAAATCATATCCCTACACCTATAACCTGAAACCTAAATCATATCCCTACACCTAACCTCAACCTTAATCATATCCCTACACCTAACCTAAAACCTTAATCATATCCCTACACCGAACCTAAAACCTCAATCATATCCCCACACCTAACCTCAATCATATCTCTACACCTAACCTTAAACCTTAATCATATCCCTACACCTAACCTTAATCATATCACTACACCTAACCTCAAACCTCAATCATATTCCTACACCTAACCTTAAACTTTAATCATATCCCTACACCTAACCTTAAACCTTAATCATATCCCTACACCTAAACTTAAACCTTAATCATATCCCTACACCTAACCTTAAACCTTAATCATATCCCCACACCTAACCTTAAACCTTAATCATATCCCTACACCTAACCTTAAACCTTAATCGTATTCCTACACCTAACCTCAAGCATATCCCTACACCTAACCTTAAACTTTAATCATATCCCTACACCTAACCTTAAACCTTAATCATATCCCTACACCTAACCTTAAACCTTAATCATATACCTACACCTAACCTTAAACCTTAATCATATCCCTTCACCTAACCTTAAACCTTAATCATATCCCTACACCTAACCTTAAACCTTAATCGTATTCCTACACCTAACCTCAATCATATCCCTACACTTAACCTTAATCATATCCCTACACCTAACCTTAAACCTTAATCATATCCCTACACCTAACCTCAAACCTCAATCATATTCCTACACCTAACCTTAAACTTTAATCATATCCCTACACCTAACCTTAAACCTTAATCATATCCCTACACCTAACCTTAAACCTTAATCATATCCCTACACCTAACCTTAAACCTTAATCGTATTCCTACACCTAACCTCAATCATATCCCTACACTTAACCTTAATCATATCCCTACACCTAACCTCAAACCTCAATCATATCCCTACACCTAACCTTAAACTTTAATCATATCCCTACACCTAACCTTAAACCTTAATCATATCCCTACACCTAACCTTAAACCTTAATCATATACCTACACCTAACCTTAAACCTTAATCATATCCCTTCACCTAACCTTAAACCTTAATCATATCCCTACACCTAACCTTAAACCTTAATCGTATTCCTACACCTAACCTCAATCATATCCCTACACCTAACCTTAATCATATCCCTACACCTAACCTTAAACCTTAATCATATCCCTACACCTAACCTTAAACCTTAATCGTATTCCTACACCTAACCTCAATCATATCCCTACACCTAACCTTAATCATGTCCCTACACCTAACCTTAAACCTTAATCATATCCCTACACCTAACCTTAAACCTTAATCGTATTCCTACACCTAACCTCAATCATATCCCTACACTTAACCTTAATCATATCCCTACACCTAACCTCAAACCTCAATCATATCCCTACACCTAACCTTAAACTTTAATCATATCCCTACACCTAACCTTAAACCTTAATCATATCCCTACACCTAACCTTAAACCTTAATCATATACCTACACCTAACCTTAAACCTTAATCATATCCCTTCACCTAACCTTAAACCTTAATCATATCCCTACACCTAACCTTAATCGTATTCCTACACCTAACCTCAATCATATCCCTACACCTAACCTTAATCATATCCCTACACCTAACCTTAAACCTTAATCATATCCCTACACCTAACCTTAAACCTTAATCATATCCCTACACCTAACCTTAAACCTTAATCGTATTCCTACACCTAACCTCAATCATATCCCTACACCTAACCTTAATCATGTCCCTACACCTAACCTTAAACCTTAATCATATCCCTACACCTAACCTTAAACCTTAATCGTATTCCTACACTTAACCTCAAACCTTAATCATATCCCTACACCTAACCTTAATCATATCCCTACACCTTACCTAAAACCTTAATCATATCCCTACACCTAACCTAAAATTTTAATCATATCCCTGCACCTAACCTCAAACCATAATCATATCCCTACACCTAACCTAAAACCTTAATCGTATTCCTACACCTAATCTCAAACATATTCCTACACCTTACCTAAAACTTAATTGCACCCCAACCCTATAATCCTATATTTTTGACAAAATAAAGCCCTGAGCAATTGTAGCAGGAGGAAATGTTGATTCACCAAATCAACCAGTTCATAAAAGTATTCAAATTTATGAATGATTTTTCTTGAGTACAATTAAATCAGCCATGAAGATCTGCCTGACAAGAATGGTACCATGAGATGCTGAAGGAGTGGATCTATTATTCATAGGTCAAATCATTTCATAGTTGCAGCTCCAACTTTAAACCTAGGCAAATATAAAAGTGTGTAGTTTGTATTGACTCACAGTAAATAGACAACAAAGACACATAATACAAAAGATTGAGATTGACAAAGTACACAAAATTAGCAAACAGATATAGTAACTAATCAAGACTAATGATAAATAACTAATTAACAAATGACTGAGAAAGGAAACCAAATTTTTGAAATATAAAGTAATACTTTGCAAAAAAGCAATTCAAACTCCAAAATATATTGTACCACTATCTGTCCAGAATCTCAGAATAAAACACAAATATTACAGAAATAAAATTATACAAACCTTTCAGATCTGAAAATATGGAAAAAATGAACATGTATGGTGCAAGTGCAAGATACTAAGCCTGTATTGACCCAATGAATACCAACTTCTATTATTCCCTATAAGCTTAACACAGGGATCATGCAGTTCCCATAAGCAATGAGATAGTTGTGTTAGATGCAGTGATTAGTATAAAAAAACATTTAGTAAAGGCATTGGAAACATTATTTTACTATCTCAACCTTTTACTTAAGAAGTAGAGAAGGAAGTTATTACTAGAAAGTGACACACATCAAATGCAGAATATTTGCAAACTCATATTTTGAAATCAGCTATTAACATTTTTTAAGACACTATGTTGAATGTGAAAACTGCTTCTGTGGCACAACTACCGAAGCTAACAAAAAAAGAATATGACTGCAAAGTATGAAAGTATTTGAACATAATCTAAGATAAGAGAAAGTATCATTAAAGAGACTTGAGTAAAAGAAGAAAATTTAGGAATACTTCACATTTGCAAAATGTATTTCAGAATATAACATAAATATATAACATATTGCATGATATGAATTATGAATGAACTGCTCATATTTACATGAAATAAACAAGCATCAATCAATACTTTGTGGAAAATTTCATAATTCTTCACAGTCAAAAATACAAAGTTGTCTTGAACTGATCATTTAACCTAATCAAGTATACTGTAATTCATTTGCTTTTTTTCTTCAAATGGCATATATCGTTCCTGTTTTCACGAAGTGACGATAGTGAGGAAAATCCGCACGCAAATCGTATGGGATTATCATTCACTACCGTCACTTTGTGAAAATAGGGACGATATGTACAAGAGGTCTACGGACCTTACGCTCACCGGAGTCGATGAAAGTAGGGGCCTCGGGACCTAGCCCCCAACCTAGCCCCCTTCCCCTTAACACCAGGAACATAGGAATATTGGAACAGTAGGGCAATGTTGGGGTGCTGCTCCCAAGTTCCCTGTACGGGCATGTATCCCATTCAAACAAATTTGGGCCTTCTTCATAAAATGATTCCTATAAAGGCTACAATCCTACTGACCCTGGAAAGGTCAGAAGCCCTTCAAAACAATTTCATACCCCCTGTCTGATGAATGCATCCTATCAAGTTAAGTCAAAATCTATATATGAATTTTAAAGACAAAGTTTTTTAAATGTCTAATTATTGCCATAGGGGCACTTTGGGGATGCTGCCCCAAGCCCCCTATGGGGCATATAACCCTTTTAAACAACTTAAGATATCCTTTTCCTGCACGTGATTCTTACAAATTTTGGTTAGAATCTATATATCCATGGACTTTCAAGTATAAAAAGAAAATTTCCAATTACTGCCACTGACAAACTTTGTGGGTGCTGCCCCTGACCCCCCTAGGAGGTACATACCCCATTTGAACAACCTTAGATCTCTCTTGCCTCAGGACGATCCCTACCAAGTCTGGTTAAAATCCAGAGAAGTAAAAATTGTAAAAAGTTTATGGACGCAGGCAAAAAGCGCTCAACATAGCTCACTTGCACCTTCCACCCAAGTGAGTTAATAAAATGAGATATGTTGACTTGTGAAACCTGTAAGGAATTATCCTATTAGAAATAATTTCCCTGCATTTTCAGGGAAATGATTTTTTCGGGGGGAGTTGGATATTTGTGTTTCCATCCTATTAATGATGACTTAAACTGTTAAAAAATATATCAATCTGTCTGTTCCTATTTCCATGTTCTTTTCAACACTCTAAAATACAGATCACGAGGCATCATAAAGTAATTGCATAAAATATCATGTAAAACATATCTTGACTTGTGAATTATCCTTCTAGAAATAACTTCCCTGCATTTTCAGGGAAATGATTTTTTTGAGGGAGGTGGGTATTTGTGTTTCCATCCTATCAATGATGACTTAAACTGTTAAAAAATATATAAATCTGTCTGTTCCTATTTCCATGTTCTTTTCAACACTCTAAAATACAGATCACGTGGCATCATAAAGTAATTGCATAAAATATCATGTAAAACATATCTTGCTTTGTATATTGTGAGTGTAGAGGTGATGAAATTATTCTTGTTAAATTAATAATTGATTGAATGCAATTTGAGATGCATAGAGTAGGCACATCGACAATGTACCAATGAGAGTTTAAATCCAAAGCAGAGAAATAACACAAGAAAAGGAGTGATGTAAAAAGCAAACTAAAGAGATCCCATCACAGATATATATAAATGAAATTCCTGTTAAGAAGAAGGAAAGCGAGTAGCTCAGGCAGTTTTATGTCAGTTTTATTTCATTTCAAATTTTTAAAATCTGACGACTGTAAAACCATGCAGAAACTTGCAGGGCTTTTGTGAGTGGCTCAGGTTAGTGAAACATTCATGACATGAAATGAGGAATATCACAACTCACACTGACCAAACTGTAAATGTTTACAGCTGGTTTATCCTTCCGGGTTAATAATTCAAAAAAGTTTCATGTCCCACAGATTCTGGTTTAATTAGAGCACTACATGTACTCTTCACAAAATGTGCAAAAATTACGTGTTGTGGAGATTTGTTTTTTTTCACAGTTGCTCTTCTAGCTATTGTGTGGATGAAGCATGCATGCGATTGCTTTAAAGGTAAAGATCAGTGTTGGAAACGCCCTAATTTCAAAAAATGAAATGGAAGCTCTTATTACCAATCATGTGAAAGAGTATGTTTTGACTAATACATAACAACAGTTTTGCCGGGAAACCACCTACTAATTGATATATTTGGTAAATTAGTTTATCTATTGGTGTGTGAGAGATAAACGCATGTGTGCGTAGTCTCATAAACGTCTTTCTGTGTACAGTGCTTGTAACTTTACGAAGACTGGGCCAAATTTCTTATCATTTTGATGATTCCAGAACCTTGCAGTACACACCAATACTTATATGCTAGATGATCACCCTTTTCTGATCGATTCCACAACGTTTCTTTCACAATGCAATCGCATGACCATAACTGGTCCTATCTTTAACCCTTAATTATGTGAGAGTAATTTGTATTTCACGTACATGAAACCAGCACCATAAATAAACGATGAATGACAGTGAATGAAACAACATTTTTTTGAAGAATTTTCACAACATGAAGGCTAACGTTACAATGTAATGATCACAGATTCAAGGCTACAAGATTGACGCTCACCAGCAGAATTAGGCCCAGATGAATTGGGACAGTCCGGCTCACATGTAGTAGTCGGGTTCTCAATCAGGCCTTCAGGTTCCAAAGGCATCACACAAAATGAGAACCAGTTAAAAGTTATCATTGCATGCCGACCCATGATTGTATAGAAATCATGTTTGGATTACGCAATACCTTCTTGTCATGTTAGCACATTTCAATACTAGTAGGTGATGGACAATGCTATTGAAATTGCCTTAATTAACTATCGGTATTCAAACTGCAGTGTATTTGCATCAAGGGCCCAGCATGATTAGATGACTAAATACACAAAATAAAACAAGTTTATTATTTTATAATAACAAAATAAAATAATATTTATCGTTTCATTGCATATTTGTTGTGATATAATTATTCTTGTATTTTGTTTTGCATGAGAAATAAAATCATTTGAATAATTTTTTTTCTTCTAAATATTAAAAAAAAGGTCAAAGGAACAAGTATGAGAATTTTGGAAGTGAGCCTGACTCGCATCTTTGGGTGCATTTTCACTTCACAATTCTCTTACAAGCAATTCAGATTTTGAGGTGCTTTTATCTTCACCATCATCATTATTATCATCATCATCATCATCATTGTCACCATTATTTGTAAAGCAATTATTATTGCTATTATTATTATTGTTATTATAAATATAATATTATTAATGGTGTTGTTGTTGTAGGTTTCTATAAGGATAAGTAGAAATGAAATATGAAATGGAGAAGTATAAGTATGATCATTCGAGAATCTTTAGAAAAAGGAGATAAACAATTGCAGAAAACATAATAATCATCATCATTTTAAAAAAAACTTGGAGAGGACAATGTAAAATCAATCGAAAAAAATTGATAGTAAAAATCTGTGTTCACTGTGTAGCAAATAAAATACATCAAAAGAATCACAGTACTCTCACCCTGTGTTGTTAAAAGAGGAGTTGTTTCATCGAGACTAAGGGATATGATTTTAGTCGCGTCTGTTTAAAAAGCAGAACAAACAGTACATAGTTTGACAGAACAGAACAAAACAAAACAAAATCAAGAGCATTCCGGACATGTGCATTTCATATTCTGTTCAACCGCTGCAGGACCTTATGATAGGCATAATTTGTCAGAGTCTACTTCTTGCAAGATTTTACTTTCCTAGTGCTAAAGAAATGCCAATAAAAAGGTTCTTTACTGGACAATCTTGTAAATTCAATTTCAGGGAAAAACATTTAATATGTATTGCTCCTGATTTTGACAAAAAATTGCTCTCATAATCCATTTTCTTTTGTGAAGGGTAGGAAGCTGATTGAATAAAATTTTAGCCCCATTATTTGTCCAACACTTGCATATTTAGGCCCACCATTTTATTATGTGAAGTAGCTTTTACTTCAATGAGTATGTTCATTCATCCTTTCTATAACTCTTTAAATTAGAAGAATATGAAGGTGCTAAGAAGAAAATAAAACATGTGCAATCATGGAGTTAGTTACTCCTTGGTATAAAGACTAAATCAAATTAATAACAGATATCGCATAACAAAATGCATTGCGAATCAATATCCATGATAACATGTGTTTAGGGCAAGAAGGCGTTAACTCTAAATCATTGGATACAGATACCCTTCTGGTTCCAAACAGATAACATTTTGTTCTAAATATGACACCTACCAGGGGTGATAGTGAGCACTAAAAAAAAAAAAGGTTTTTTGTTTTCCCCTCAACCACGCCCCCCTTGAGTAAAAAAAAGAGAAGAGGATTCGCGGGGAAAAAATGGCATCTAACAACATTCCCCCCTTTCGAGCAAGAAAATTGGGAAAAAATGGGGCAAAATAGGGAAGATTAGAGAAAATAACGGGGAAATCTGTAAAATCAGGATAAAAGAAAGAAGAAGAGAAAAAATCTGGTTAATTTTTTTTTTTTTTTTTTCAAATCGGGAAGAAAAAAAAAATTGAGAAAAAATCAGGAAAATAAAAAAATATCGGGAAACCGATTTAAATCGGGTTTTTATCAGGCCTGACCTACATGTAAATGAATTGGTATACATCATCAGCTACCTGCAAGAAGGCCCTAATGATCTGTGTATTGGCAATGGAAGTAAGAGCCTTCTTGCAGAAAGTCAACAATGTATTCATCTATCCTTTATGGTATTCTTTCAATCAAGACCTACCAAACATTGAATATTGTACCTTTTTTTTTTACTGTTCTAAATCTAATCAAAGTACAACAATTAGTTCTCTGATGCAATGGTTTCAGTAATATATAAAGTAAAGCATAATATCCGCTCATAGCCAGAAAGGTGTTTACTCATCATTTAATTCAGTTCAATCCAGTTTATTTCAAATCTCTTTTAAAAACATAAAATTACAATGAAAAGTAAAGCAATTTAAAAATAAATATACAATATGATATATTCAACATAACAAAATGCACACAGGTACATATAGCTGACTTGACAAATACAAAAAGAAGGATGAAGTGTATTATACATTAAATGAGATTAAAATAATCAAAAGTGAGTAAATGATATCGTATTATTAACATTGAAAAGTAGAATACATGACATGTGAGACACAAGGAATCAAACAAACACATATGAATATTATATCTAAAAGAAATTGTAGGTAAAATATCAAGGCAATACTGTTTTAACATAGTAATTTATTATTTAAAAGCAGACAAATGCTCTAGCAACAAATGATCCATGATATATTTTGCCAAAGGGATTTCAGATTAGGATTAGGATCATTGATGAATGAATGAATTGACCTAGAGACCTTATTGGATAAAGCATCTGCAATCAGGCTTCCCTGCGACTTTTGAAGAAAAAAAATTCCCTGATTTTTCTCTGATTTATTCCTGATGGATCATTTAAAATGCCACAATTTCAGCCTATTTCCTGTTTGAGACCTTTTCAATGAGGGAGTAGGAGGAATACAGTATGAGACAAGATAACAGGGACTGTCTACTTTTTTAGTGTATGATTGACATTACCAAATTTGAGTGCTTCTTTCCAAATCCCCTGACCTTTAAAAAAACAACTCTAGCCTGACTGGACAAGAGGGAACTCATTTTCCAGGATTTCCCCGATCTTCAGCAGAGGCGGGCCATGGGAACCCTACCAGTACATAAGGCCATTAAAAAAAATACATGTTTAGCGTCCCCGCCTGCTTCCTTTTATGGGGGGGGGGGGGCTGCCCTCTGTTTTTTTTTTTTTTAATTAAAAAAAATATGAATTAAAAAAAAAAACATAACAAACATGAAAAACACTGCTAAAATAAACTGATTTAAAAAAAAAGAAGAAAATTTCAGCGGCCATCTTGAAAAATAGCCCGACTGTCAGGGAAAATGTACTGAGTGGCCATTTTGAGCGGCCATTTTGAAGAAGAAAAAAAAAAAAAAAGGGCCCTGCTCCTTCCTATTTTTCAAAAAAGCAGGACGCTAAACATGTTTTTAAAAAATATTTGGCCTGATGATGTAATGGAACATGGGATGACAGTAGATGGTAAGTGTATTAATATATGATTAAGACCAGTACATGATGATGTAATGTAGCATGGATGACAGTGGATGGTAAGTGGATTAATGCGTCAGTAATACCAGTCATCCATGATGCAGAAGAAAAATCACTAACAGACATTTAATCATTGATTAGACACAATTACCCCTGGGAACCAAATATTTTTGACAAGCATTGCTTCTTTTTGGTTCCCCCATATTTCATGTTATGTTAATTACAAACAAATTGTTGATTATGTAATATTTTATTTACTTTAGTCTTCAATTTATTCATTTAATTGTATTTTGTTTTTTGAATATATTTGTTTGTTTGTATAATTACTTGTTCAAATTTATTGGTGAAATGTAGAAATAAATTTAAATCAATCAAATCAAATAAATGCCCAATAAAATTCCCTGATTTTTCTCTGATTTATTCCTGATGATGATGATGATGAACAGCATTTGTATGGCGCCATATATCTGTTTCAGAAAACATTCAAAGGGGCGAGCTCCTCCAATAAAATTAGCATTTAAATGTCTGAAGGAAGATGTGAGTTTTGAGTGAAGCTTTGAAGTGGTCCAGGTTGTCAATTTCGCGAATAGATGATGGATCATTTAAAATGCCACAATTTCAGCCTATTTCCTGTTTGAGACCTTTTCAATGAGGGAGTAGGAGGAATACAGTATGAGACAAGATAAAAGGGACTGTCTACTTTTTTAGTGTACGATTGACATTACCAAATTTGAGTGCTTCTTTCCAAATCCCCTGACTTGTTCAAATTTATTTGTGACATAATTATGTTTGTAATTGACACGTTAATGGTTGCGAATCTTCCAAGTGGGCACCGGCCACCTCTGGAAGATCACAAGAATGACTTTGAATCTAATATGACAAGCTGAAACAACTGTGTTTGCATCAAGATTAATTGAAAGAGTTTAGTTTGGTCTATACTAATTATGTATCAGAAATACCCAAAGGAACGGAGGATCGATTTTGGATTCTTCCCTGAACACAGATATAACTAGCTGACAGAGATGTACAGTGTATATGGATGTGTGGTGAAAGATCTTGGGGTACGTGGTTTGTGATATAGCATGAGTGGTAGGTGAAAATTGATTAGTGAAATTCAGGAACTGATTTGATAGTTGCAAGTTTGGTACATCGCCCGTCTGTGAACATAGACAAATACACATAAGGCGCGTCTTCATCAACTCGAGATTGCCAAAAAGCCCGCTATTTCTGGTTTGGGAAGTAACCCCGAAGTATACCGCTAATTGCTACTTCGGTCTGATGAAGACGCAAATTAGCTGGATAGTTTGCGATCGGGATAGTTCAAATAGCTGGATATTTGGCAATCTTGAGATAGTGAAGACAGGCCTAATATGATCAATGAGGCAACTTTGGATCTGTGGTGAAAGATCTTGGGGTGGTTATGATATAGCATGAGTGGTAGGTGAAATTTATGAGTAAACTGGAACTGATTTGATAATTGCAAGTTTGGTACAATCGCCTGCCTGTGAACATAGACAAAATGCAGGAGTGGCATGCTACAGCCTGCGTGCAGTACCCCTCCTCACTTTTCAATTTCTTTCAGTAGACATGTTCAATAGCGCAGTGTTGCAACAAATGCTTGTTTGCATCCCCCCCCCCCCCCCCCCCCCCCCCGAAAAAGAAATGGTTGCTAGCTCCTGACCAAAGCCAACATGTATGGCACAAACCAGAGCTGGGGGTGTTTCATAAAGCTGTTTGCAAAGTTACCGTACGCATGACTTTATACGAATGACTTGAATATGAAGTGCCAGATAGGATGCGCTAAGTTTTTCCTCATGTTTTAACAAAGTGTGACAATATTTCCAATAACCTCAATTAAATTATGGCAAAAAAATATACTTTGCATTAAAAATGTTTGTTATGATAAGAATGTTAATCTACATCTGCACAGTTCAACTGTAGTTGATGCAGTTAAACACGATTGAGCATCCCATTTGGCTTTTCATATATAAATCATTTGTAAAGTCATGCACAACTTTACGAACAGCTTTATGAAACACCCCCCAGATGGAATAGAATAGGATAGGGGCCATGAACGGAATCCATTGTCCAAGCCAACAGGGATGGAAACATCAATTGATATTGAGATGATCTGGTGATTAGAGTCGTAAGTGCAGAAAAAAACTGACAAGGAATCAGACAGTTTGTCGTTTATCCATATCCATTTTATCTATTTAAAAGTGCAATCAACAAAATGGTGTGTAAATTTCCATAGTTTTAAAATCAATTCTAGGAGCAAGTACTCAGAATGATGTAAATGAAATTTATACAAAATGGTAGCTCTGCTTAATACAAAAAAAACAATGAAAGTCTAAGTGAGATAAAAGAATAATTTTTGGTCAATTGTGTATGAATTTGCAAAAAATGATAACATTGAAGGGCTGAATCTCATTTGTGATAAAAGTGTGCTCAAGTAGGCTTTCTCCATCAAAGAAATAAATGGAAGTGATCAGA